TCAGTGACGAAGTCTAAGACGACCTCTATAGCGACCTCTAGGGCGATCTCAAGGACGACCTCTAGGGTGACCTCAAGGACGGCGTCTAAAATTACGCCGAGGACGACGTCTACAACCTCTGGGACAACCTCAAGGACCACCTCTAGGTCGATCTCAAAGACGACGTCGAGAACAACGTCTAAGAGGACGATGTCGAGGACGACGTCTAGGACGACCGACGACGTCAAGGTCGTCAGGTCCTTCGGAGAGGGTGCGAATGTGAAGGAGTGTGAGAATGTGAGCTGAAATGGTCTACTGCACGAGGCCAGAAACTCCAAGAAATCCGTGTAGGGGAGGGGGGAGGGGGGGACAGGTAGCTCAAGAATGATATCGCAGCTAAAGGACGCGCGTGCGCACTGCGCGGTTCTCGGCAGCGGGCACGGCGCGCCGTCAGGGAGCACGGCGATGCCAATCGGTCGGACCTTCGGTGTTATCTGTTTTCGTTTTCGTGACATCGATCTCCCAACTTTGCAACTTCTTCTAAGCGAGGAGAAAGACGTAGTTCTACGTCAAAAAGCTGTGGAGTAGCTCAGTGGTAACGCTTTCACTTCGCACGCAGCGGACCTAGGTTCGATCCCGCGGGCTTTTGGCGTTCTTTTTTAAGGATTTGGCAACATCGGCGAAGGTTGCCCTATGACGCCAACTGCAACAACAACTACAACATCAACAACGGTAAGAATAATAGCCCAGGGGTGGAAAGAGCCCATAACAGCTATCGCTGCAAAAGGTACGAGGCCGAGGCCACTCCAAAGCGATCATTCAGCGCTTTAGAAGCGAGTCGTTTGATGCGCCATCAGCTAAGTGCAATTTTCACCACCGTTCACACATTGGTGATATCTTGTGTTACTTATATTTGTAGCTCTGAACCTATGGGGGTGAACTTGGTTCGAAATTCGTCAAACTTTTGTTCAGAGGTTTGAACTTCGTCGGACTTTTGAACCTGAAAAGGTCAAAAGTTCGAAAATCGTAGACTTTCTTAGCGTGGTAAATTCTAAAGTTTGAAAATTTTGAATTTCATATCGCGGAAAATCAGAAGTTTGAAAACAATAGAATATCTGAGCGCGAAGAATTCGAAAGTTCGAAACTCGTCGAATTTTTTTATGTAATATGTTTGACATTTCGAAACTTCGCGAATCTTTCGATTGGTTCAATCTTCGAACCTTGGGTTCGTAGAAAGTTCGCGGCATCTCTACTTAGGACTAGGTCCGCAGCAGCACATCCGATCCTAAGCCGTCGCAAGAGGCTTAAAACTGGTCTTGTCTCAAGGGTGATTCACAGACTTGCGTTGATTCCGACCGACTGCGAGGGTGGCTATGGCTACAGCTGCGTCGGCTCCAACAAAACGAGGTAAAAACCTGTTTTATTGAAGCCGACGCAGCTGTTGCCTTGCAACCCTCGCAGTCGGTCGGACTCAACGCAAGTGTCTGAATCGCCCTTCAATCAGTCCTACTCGGTTGCAAGTGCGTGAACGGGCCTTAACGTTGGAAACGTTGCAGAAGCCAGAGACAACTCTTCGTTGTCATTAGGACTCAGGAACCAATACGCAAGGATCTGCGACATCGCACACGCCATAACTCATAAGGCACATCATCTCGCCACAATGGGCTACACTAGAAAAGTTCCTAGTTTTGCTCAAGTTTTAAACATCCTCAGTGGTGGGCTACCCACGCCATTTGCATCTTTCAGGTCGTTTCCGACGCCCATATTCGGGATTTAATATTTATCACGACATTCTAGGGATCAGCTATTCTAGTCACCGACACATGTTTACCGATGGATCCACTATATGTCAGATAACAAGGCATAGGACTACACGTTCAATCTATTAACTTTACCCTTCAAGCACGACTAAGCCACGCTACATCTTCTACCGCGGCTGAACTAACCAGGATTCGGAAAGCTCTACATTTCATCATTCAAACAGCATCAACGCAGTGGACAATATGTACTGATTCGAACTCAGCACTTCAAAACTTATTAAATTCAAACGCAAAAAAAAAAAAAAAAAAATTAATTTGGCAGCTAATACAGGACATAGGCCATCTTCGTCATGAGGCGATCTGATTTGGACATACGGTTGTCTTCTAATAGTTTTCGATTAACCATTGCGGAATCGCCGGTAACGAGTCTGCAGGTATTGTAATCAAAAATGGAAGACTTCCGAATCTATAATCATTATTCCGTACTCAAGACAAGATGCCAGGCGATTGGCAAATCACATCGGAGACCCCATTCGCTCTTCTTTTCGGTCTAACTCACAGTGTCACTATACAAGCGGCTTTATGGCATCGACACCCTCTCCAATTTCGTGTACCGCGAGGACTCAACCGACGTACTCAAACCACACTCCACCGCATATGCCTTCGTGTCGGGTACACCGAGAAGTTCCTTCACGTGATCGGCAGGACGCCATCACCACTCTGTCAAACGGGCTCATCGGTTGAAGACAAACATCATCTCTTATGTCAGTGCAGCATGCATGACAAGGAACGAGCTAGGATCAAGCAGCAAATCTTTCCGGTCAACCATTGTCTTTTCAATGGCTCTTGCCCATGGCAAACCTGCCAATAAGTCGATGTGGCTACCAATTCACTAAATATTAACTAAAAAAAGTTAACATAGCTTATGTGCCTATTTCCTTTTTGTCCCTGTTTTTTTCTATGGGACGCATATGCTCTGACTAATTTTTTATGATTGATTTTATGTTTGACTTTCGTATTTTTATATCATATTATTTTTCGTGTGTATATGATTGTTTTTTAAGTTTCTTTCTATACATATCTGTACTTTCTTTATCCTTCTTCCCCCCTTCCCGAGCACGAAGTAGCAATCTTTCTGTGTATCTTCCTCAAGTTTAAGTAGTGTTACCAACACGCTCGTTTTGCAATTAATTGGTTAATCTCTTCGGTCTTTCAACAAACAAATTTTTCTCTCTCCCTGCCTGCTAGCAGGACACAAACAGATATTAACTTGCAAATGACCAAAATTGGCTAATTTGTATCTGTTGCCATGGTAGTCGCCATTTCGGTCCCATCAAACATTTGAAGCTTCGAAACGGTCGCTCCAAACCAGTCGCACCAAGATCGCTATGGAACGTCATTGTACTGAAAGTGTTCCTCGTCATTATAAGCTTTTTTTGACGCTGTGTGCAATCAACGTATCAGTCATGGTTATATCCACAGATTCCAACAATGACATTGTTGTTCTTGCACATTTCAAGACAGGGAATTATTTTTCAATACCGCAAAGCACCGATGCCGCATGTGATGTGATGGCGGTGCGACGATGTACGCTTGTTTGCCGGTGTGTGGTTAACAAAATCTGGGTATGTGAGAAGGGCCTTTACCCCGTCACCGAGAGTCCAAATCTGTCCACCAAAGTCAAATTTGGGGGTTTTACGTGCCAAACCTACAACTGGCATCTAGCACGCCCCAGCGGAGGACTGAGGATTAATTTCGACCATCTGGGGATCTTTTGACCTGCAACCGAGAGCTCGGTTACACGGCGCCTTCTCCGCAATAAGCCTCCATCGTATTGCGGCACCCCGGTCGGGATTCGAACCCGCCACCTGGGGATCCGTAGGCCGGCGCTCTCGCCTCGGAGCCACCGAGGCGGCTCATCGGTCCACCGAGGTATAACCGAGGCGAAATTGCTCATTCCATGGGCCAAAATGGCGAACACACGGGGAGCTTGTTGGTAGTTTCCCTAGGATCCTGTGACTTTACGCTGCACCAGTGCCTCGCTCCCCCTCTCTTACAACTATATAGCAGGCTGTTTTCACTGACGTAATTTCGTTCACCATTTTGTTTTCATGAGCTGTCTGACGCGTGATAAAAGCGAGCATTCTGAAGATTCACACGACACCCCTAAATGTACGATAAAGAAAGAGGGACATTGAAGACAAACAGGCAAGCCTGTCTTGTCTGTTTGTCTTCAATGTCCTTCTTTCCTTATCGTAAATTAGAAACCAACACGCTCAACCATCTACACCCTTAAATCGCTAGTGCACAAAAGCTTATAAGTCACATCACGCCTCTTTTTTCTTTTTATCTTCCGATAAATAAAACATTTCTTATTCACTCACTCTAACAACAAAATGGCGGATTGACGTAATGTGGAAACACCCTATACCCGTACGGCGCAGGAAGCCGAAAACAAGCCGGTAATTTATTGTTTATTTGTTATTTTATGTGTACTCAACGTTTCGAAGTACCGTGGAGTGGTATGATAATTATTTCGTACCATGCACGCGAGAAATGGCTCAAGACTAACAGCGACACTCATTGCAGTAATAATAATAATAAGTTTATTCACAAAGAAAGCATACATACAATATACTTAGTCTCACAAAAGCACTTGCGTGCTTGTGCGTGAGTACTTACAGTCCAGCATGGGATGAATTTAACAAATCGGAAGTATGTAAAACTAAATTGATACACTGATTGGAGTCCTTTTTATGCGGAACTCAACAGAAGGGAAAGAAAACAAATGGTTCATCGCCTTAACAGTATACAAGCACAAACTTTTAGGCCAGTAAACTTTTAGGCCAGTAGCTAGGGATATGAGAAAGACAGTAAGAGGTTCAGACGAAATACGTCCCTGGGGACTACACCTTGGAGCCGACAGTTCTTGTGTAGTTGGAATGAATGGATACGGCGCAGTGTCAGGGGTTTCACGACGATAGATGGCTGCCGCCATCTATGGTCGCAGACAGGCTTGAAGGCAACGGGGACAGCAGCCTCTGCCGTCTGGACGAATCTGTTATCTCGGTGCTTAGACGTCAGCCCTCACCCTCGGCGCAGCACGGAAGGGCGACGGCGTGGACATGGAGCGCGATGTGCATGCGTTAGCTCGGTCTGTCCACGCAGATAGGGAAGGATCTGGTACACGCTGTCTAATACAAATGAGCGTAGAATGTATTCTCCTACAGTAAAGTATTTTCTCAAACCCCCAAAGAAGAAGACCTGCCATTAATGAGTATACGACATCTAGAGCGTCCCAGAAAAGGCGAGGTATTGTAAAAAAGTAGTTTGATAAGGTATCAAAGTCGTATCCACAAACAAACGGTGGAAGCGAAAAGGTGTGGCATGCTTCTTTACGCCGTTGTTTCAGTGGCTGCCCAGGATTTCGAGAAGGAGGACCTTTTTGTTCACTACTTTTTTCACCTTTCCGAAGGTGAGTGGTTTTACGCATTCATGTATTGCCCGTTTCCCCGTTCTAAGTGCTTCGCGAGAGTCAGGCAAAAATAATAGCAAGACCCACGCACACACGCACGCAAACACACACACACACGCGCATGCATACATACATGCGTACGTACATACATACACACACGCCGCATACACATACATACGTATACACGCCGCACGTACAAATATGGGCGGCGTGCATCTATTATGCGTACGCGCGCGCGTGAGTGTGTGTGCGCGTGTGCGCGCGTGTGTGTATGCATGTATGTATGTATGTATGTATCGAGTCTCTCGTAAGCCTACAAGACTCGAATACGCGAATAACACACGCAGTTTATACAAACAAGCCCACGTCCGGTCAGGTACGGGCACTGGGCGTGCGCAGAAATCAAAGTCGCGTGAGATGAAGCGTCTGCACACGCACCGACAGCAGCCCCGTCGCGTTGGCCTGACGTCAGAGAGTCCAGTTGGCACCTGTGGGTTTTTATTTTTAATTAGTATATGGCATATAGCACGGGAAAAATAAGTGCGCACACTGTTGTTGCATCGCACGAAACTGGACCTAGGAGTTAATAGCCATGGACGTTTAAAAGACAATTGCGACATCGGGAGAAGTCTTGTGACCGTGCGTGACGATGAAACCGTGACGATCATGTCGAGGTGTTCACACGTCAGCAGCTTACGTTGCCTATGCGTACATCAAAGCTGGTGTATCAACGGAAAGATTAAAAAAATATAATAACAACAATAATTTTGTATTTTGCGGACTACAGTGCGTGGACTATATGGGTTTTAAAGTTGAAATGTAACACTGTGCGGACTATAAGATTGTTCATTATGACGATACGTGACAGATTGAGAGGATGAACGAGTATGCTTTACGTATATTGCAAGCTTTTTTTTCTTTTTTTTTTTTTTGCGAGCGAATGAAGTAGGCATTTGTCAAAATGTGTTATAAACGATTTTTTTTTTTTTTTTTACGCAGTGGCGTTAGGTGGAAACTATCCAAAGAAAAACCGTTTTTTCAGTCAAACCTTGCGTAATCGGAGAAGCCTGTTGAGCTAGTCAACGGGACAACTTCGGCATTCTGATTGGCGCGTTTCTTTTTTAACGTGAGATCGTCTGGTTTGCGGGAGGAAAGAGGAGGGCGGGCAAACTTTCCTCATGGCGAATCCCAGAACTCGAAGTTTTGGCTTGCGCTCCGGGATCTAGAGTGACAAAAGCGCCCAGCGCGCATACACTATTGTCCCCCCCCCCCCCCCCCCCCCCCCCCCCCCCCCCCCCTTTCCATCTTCATTCACAACGCTTTTTAGTTCCTGGGGGCACGCGTCCTCCACTGGGCGTTTGGGACCAACACGAATGTCTTTCGCTCGTTGTTTTGAAGCGGCGCAGACTCCAGACCCCCAGACCTCGATTCGGATCGCCCAATCCCGTTCCGCCGATGTCCCCGAATTCGGAAGCCCATCTCTGTGTGCATGTGCCTTCCTATAGCGCGCATTGCATGCCGGTGGCGATTCTGCGACCCGCCGCTGAATCAGGGAGACGGACGTCGGCACGGTCGGTGGGCGCAGCGGAAGTTCATTGCGCGAGTGGGGTGTTATCCGTAACTGTGGTGACAATGTAGTCGGATGTCACATTCGGCGACGTCGCAGCCGTGGCTTCGAGGCGGCAAACACACTTGTGACTTCGTGTTTGTTTACCTCGTCGACGCCGGTGTTTTCGAACGTATGTGGCCTCAACTATTGCCGCATTTGTTACGTGTTGTGCTCTTTTTGGGCTCAAGTTCAAGCGGTTACCTGTGCGTACTGTTTCTGCTTAGCCTTTAGCCGCCTCCCTAATTTTCTTCCTGTCCGTCCTCTTTGTCTGACTCTTTCGTATATTTTTCAAATCTGGGAGCCGGCTAGCGTGTGAATCATAGGCGTGTTTGTGACGATGCAGAAAGGCCCGAATTAGAGCTCCGAAATCGACCTGTTGACTTCACTCCACAACCCTCTCTGAATACAGCACTGGGTGTGGACTGTAACCCCGAAAACACGGTATTGATTTCCATAAATGCCATCGCTTTCCGACGGGCTATTCGAGTGGACGAGTTGGCATGCCGGGCAGACCCATTGCAATAATTTGGGAACACCGTTTCTAGCCCCCGACAACAGAACATAAAAAAGGGTACCACCGATCTCCCTCATTGTTAGGAGGCCGCCGTCCTTATTTATGGCCTCCTACAAGCGACTCTCGGGCTAAGAGCTCTTCTGCTTCTGCGAGCCTGCTCTTTCTTCCGACGAGGCTCAATGGCTCGGAAGATCGTCCCCGTCATTGTTACTGCCGTCGTCTCTCGCAGGCTGGACCTCCTCGTGCCCGCTCTTCGGCGTAACTCACTGCTCACGAACCAGAGGCACTGGACGAGTGAGTACACATTTGACTAGTATATTAAGCATACTCGTACGCGCGTGCATCAGTGCATAAATGACCTCTATATATCGTGTCCCCCTTGTCGTACAACTCACCTGCACAAATCGCAAAAAAAAAAAAATCGTGTTTTTTTTAGAGACCAAGCCGTTGTTTAGAAAACAAGCGACCGTTTGCCCACTCCAGGTGTGGGCACTGCCCGTGTGCAGAAACTAGTTTGCCCATGCGCAGTGCCTTCCGCCGTGCTTGGTGCCTTCCGCCGCGCTTGGTTGCGCGCGCATGCGCTCGAGGCTCGCGAGACATCGAAGTGTCGCCGAAGGTAGGAAGCTGGCGCCGAAAGCGTGGCAACTGAAGGTCCTCCCCCTCGTTCTAATTCTATCAGTGACTGCCACTGAGATCCATTGGCCAATGCCCTCCTTGAGTAAGTGCTAAAAACCCTTCGTTGAACAACTAACCAGGAATAGCTGTAATCGTCGCCGAAGTGCATCTCTCGCTGTTTTAGTTTATTTAAAAAAGTATAAGTTGTGCTTTTTCTTTTTGCTTTAAGTTTTTGTGTGATGAAAGCACTACTAAAGCGGAGAGCTGTTTGTATTCGCAGTAAACAAAACAAAACGAAAATTCCCAGGGTCCCTTATGTTATCCTTAAGACGATTTGAAAGCGAAAGCCCAAACGCCGATGTAAACGTGATAGCGAACCTCCGAAGACAGCGCGCTCTCTGACGACACACTTTCGGCGCCGTTTCATTGGAAGCTTTCGTTTTGGTACCTTTCGTGTCGCCGACGTGTTTTCGCTCAAGGACTTTGAAGGTCGACTGAACATGACACATATAAGGCTTTTGCCTTAATAAACAGCTTCTAAGCCGCAGTGCCGTCGGTCACGCCATCCTCTCTCTGTACGTGACAGTGTGACTCGTCTGCTCGGTTATGCATGGCGTCGACGCCAAAATTGCTCACTCGGACATCGTTCCGTTCCAAAGCCCTATAAGGCAGATCACAAGAAAACCTTTCCGGCATTGTTTTTTTGACCTTTGGAGGGGGGGGGGGGGGCAATGAAAGCCAGCAAATGTTGCTGCCGAAAAGAGTAAAGGCTCTCCAGAAGCTGGCGAGGCTCACCTGTCTATAGGTTCGTTACTCTGATCTCGAAATGCCATTTAGCAGAAACACTTCTGGCTCAGTCCCCTTCCTGCCTTGTGCGGGTTTGCCCTGATTTGATTTCGAAACTTCGCCCTCGTCCCCGAAAAGTGACCGAGAATGAACTCCGAATGATCGGATTTCTTGTAAAATTTCATTTGAGACTCCTGACGTTAACCATTTACATGATTCGCAATAAAAAAAGATCAAGTTTGAGAAAAGAAAACTGTGATTAGCAGTTGTTTTGTTTTGTTTTTTTCGGTAAATACCAAGGGCGCGCAGGATCTTAGATATACATACTTAAAATTAAAAGAATTAAAGCAGGAAGGACGACGGCGAGACAACAACACTCTTTCGTTTTATTCTTTCAATTTTAAGTATCAAAATTTCAACACGCTGGACTTAATCAATCCTAAATATAGAAAACGTTTAATTTTAATTTAAGCAAAAAAAAAAAAAAAAAAAACAGGGGTGAGAATTACGAGGGTGTTGTCCTCACCTTGTTTTTATCGGGCTCGGCGAAAATTAAATGAGGGAATAACTGTCAAGGTAATTTGGCTAATTAAGTAAGATTGATTCATTAACTTTTCACGTATTGGTTTTACGGGTCATGTCGCAATTGCAGTATTTGTGACAATTACTGTTAAAGCCAATGACAATGAAAAAAAAAAACGGCAATAGCAGTGATGTGATTGGCTCGAGTCATTGGTGCACCTTCGGAGCAGTCAAAAGAACTCATGGAGCACAAGCATACGCTCCATATCCCCTTCATTCCACCGCAAATATTGTGGTAAGATGAAAACAAAAAAGTACATTAGAATTTTGAGTACCAAAATTATCTTTGTTCAAGGTTTAAAGGGATACTGCAACGGAATTTCGGCGCTTATTTTTTCGTCTAGACCTTTTTAAAGAAGCATTATCACATCAGACACACCAATGTTAACAAAGACACGAAAATGAATTTTAAACCGAATTAAACGATTAGCAAAGAGCACCTGGTGGTTGTCGCTAACGCCTCCTTTGTAATGCCCTAAGAACCTTGACAGCTAGTGACGGAGGTTGTCTCGCCTCCGGCCACGACGCAAGAAGAGGGGAAGGAGGAACTCCCCTCTTCCCGAGAATCCCTTTTATGCGTCCCAGAAGTCGCTCGCTATTGTCCCTCTACAAGGTTATAGAAGATTAAACCGTCACTCAAAATCCGTACAAAAGCAGCAGCTTCGGTGGCTGGAACAACTAGGTCATCCTCTCGACGTCAGCATCGCCGTAGCTTTGCTCGTCCCGAGACGACCTACTTCACGCTTGCGTTGGATGTCACGTGGTCTCCGCTGGCTGTTCTCCGAGCACTTGCCAAAGTGGGCCGTTTATAACGAAAAATACAGCCACCAAGCTCAAAATACAAACGTGCGATTGCCATTTACAGACATTGTGGATCATATTCAACTTATTTTTGAACACGACGGGTATATTTCAAATTTTGTTGAAGTATCCCTTTAAAGGTAGCAGTAAATCGGCTCAATAATTAATTGAAATTAAAAAAAAACAAATACATCACAAATACTTGATTTACTGTGCCTACGAATAGGTGGAGGCATTTAGATGTGATAACTAAATCACGGATTTGAAGTAAGAACAGTCTTATAACTTAGCCCATATACATTCTATCGCTTTACCCAGAACCTTCCTTAAATCTTAAATTTAAATAGAATAAATATATAAATAAAAAAGGTCAGGGATGGCACATCGTGTCAGGATATCGCAGTTTATCAAATATAGCCAGGATTTCATTTTGAAAGTTTTAATGGGAAGTGTACGATGTTACGTCAACGTTCACAAACTTCATTAAAAAAAAAAAAAAAACTTTTACGAGTGTGCACTTTCGCTTTGGACTGTTTTTTTTTTTTTTTTTTTTTTTTTTTCTCTCTCTTTTTTCACGCGGGCGCGCTGCGGCGAAGCGAGACACGCAGAGCCGCGATGTCTATTTCGCATATGACGCTTCTCTGCAGTGCAGAGGCACGCACTATACTTTCCCCCTGCGCACATTTACGTTTCAAAGCAATTGACTGCGTTGCGTCGAGAACCGAAAGCGAGTCACCGGCACACCTGTGCTTCGTATGAAGCGTGGAATCCAAGCGGGGATGTCCTGGTTTCTCGCAGCCGCAAAGCAGTCAAACGCACTCAAACGCTCTCAAACGCAACTGTGCGTAGGGACCTTTAAGCCGAGACTGCACCCAAAGCAACAAACGCGAGCTAGCCCGCGCTCCTGGCTTTAAGACATACATTTCTAGCGCGAGTGTTCATTCTGCGAAGAACGCTTCAAAGCAGCGACCTCGAGCTATCGTGGTTGTGGCCTTGGGTGGACGGAGTTATAATGCCCTAGGGCGACAAACAAAAATGACGGACACGGACAGGCGATTTCGTGCACATGCAGCATGCACGCGAAGGTGTCTTTGGCAAGCGGGCAATTACTCGTGCTTATTGGCGACGTGCGCGACCGAAAGCGTCGCTGTGGTCGGCCTTCCACGATTGGCCCAAAAGCTGACTTATGACGTCGGAAAGGGTATACCATCGACGGAAATAAGAGGAATGAAAGAACTTTAATTTCGACGGTGTTGGCAGTGTTGCTTTGAGAGCGCAATGATTTCAGGCTTCCACCATGCTATTTACAAACACCATCGAACTTGTTGTTCGCAAGGTAATGACGTCACAAGGGGGAACCAGGAGGGCGCCACCAAAACATCTCGCCGCTAATAGGGAGTATTCACTGGCCGCCATATTTGTGGGTGCTGTTTAGAGCGCATGCTCAGAACGAGCTCACATTAATAGGCTGCTAAGACCGACACCCTTGATGGTGCGACATGCACGTTGCAAATGAACTGTGGAAGCTCGCCATCAGCACGCGCTTAGCATTCGCGCACACAGTTATGGCCGCCAGTGAATACTCCCTATACTTCAAAGTATTAAAGAGACTGCAAACCTTCCCGTTCGCGTTCATGCTGGACGTGCACGAAACTTGTCGGTGTCTGTCGTTTCTGTTTGTCGGTGTAGTGGGATTCGGGTCTGCACCCCAATGGAGCTAATTAACCTGCCCGAACAGACAACAAACAGTGAGAAGCACTGCGTAACTTCCGAGTACTGGCAGCGTTTGGTAAATATATGAAATCAAATAAGATCTAAAAAAAGAAATAATAGAAAGTTCTGAAAATTTCTAGAAGCGAACTTTAAAAGATTAATTCAGTACTAACACAAGTCAACTTGTGGCGCAATGTTTAGCGCCAATTTTTCATAGTTTGGCCAAATGTAGCGGGCTAAGCACTTGGGCGCAGTTTGGAGCGAATGATTCAGTAATCACATCACTGCAACAGTTTTCTTTTTTTTTTTTTTAATTTATCAGTTTTTGCGTTTCTATCGACTGATTTCAAGATTGCGCGTGACCAGAGCACCGCAGGCCCTGCCCACAATGACGCTTAGAAGAGTGACGCAGTCATTTCAACCGAGTCGTGGCAGCGCGTCCTTGGTGGACGACGTAAGTGATGACGTGCCGCTGAAACGCGTCACTCTTCTAAGCGTCATTCTGGACAAGGCTTGCGGCGGCGCTCTTTTTGCGCGCTCCAGACCCTTTTTCCGAAGTCGGCGCCAACGCCTGTCCGCCTTTTCTTGCTCACACACTCTGAGCACGTATTGGACACGGGGCCTTGGTCAGCGTTCGGCGTGCCCTCGGATGCAGTCGCGCGCTTCGTGCCCAACAAATGGCCAACGCAAATGTTGCTTGGTGGATTTTTGAAAACGGTCTATTGCGCGAAAGAACGAAAAACCTAATAAAAAAATATAAAAAAAACATTACTTTTTTTAAAATTGGTTTGTCGTTTATTGGTGATTGCCGTCATTACTGCAAGTGAAACTTGACCCATAAAACCATATTTAAAAAGTTGATTAACCGATTTTATTTTATTAGCCAGTTTACCGTGACCAACCCTCACTATAATTGTTTTTCTTGTGAATTTTCTTGTGAAACGCCCAGCTGCTTCATTTCACCCATTCTTTGCATTCTACACTGGACAAAAACTATCAGGCTGACTGCATTTTTCTTGATTTTTCTAAGGCATTCGACAAGGTTAATAATAAGTTACTAATGCTTAAACTTTCTTCATTAAACCTAGACCCTAATGTGTTAACCTGGCTGGAATGCTTTCTTACCAACCGCTCCCAATATGTAACTTTAAATGGGAATAATTCATCCCTGACTGATGTGGTATCGGGCGTGCCCCAAGGTTCGGTTTTAGGCCCGCTTCTTTTACTAATACTCATTAATGATTTACCAAGTTGTGTTTCTTCCTCCATGCTTTTATACGCGGATGACTGTGTAATTTATCGGGAAGTTCATGATGATTATCATGAACGCCTTTTGCTATCTGATTTAAATATTATTACTCTTTGGTGCGAAAATTGGCGTATGGAACTAAACCCTAACAAATGCAAACTAACGCGGGTTTCCCGGCAAGGCGCGCGCCCTTCAGCATATATACTAAGCGACATGCAACTTCAATCTGTAAGCTCGTACCGTTATCTGGGTGTTACTATATTATCGACTTCAACCTGGAAACCTCGTATCAATATAATAATCGCCAACGCTAACCGCATGTGGGGTACCTACGACGAAACTTCAGAACGGCCCCAGTTAACTTAAAACTTCTTCTTTAAAACACTCTTGTACGGTCAAAATCGGAATACGCAGCCTCTGCTTGGGATCCTATAACCACGTCTTTCTACATAAAGCTCTCGGACTAGTTCAAAATAACGCCGTTCGTTTCATTCTGTCTAATTATAATCGAACAGCCAGCATATTATCAATAAAGTCCAGTTTGTTGTTACCCTCTTTGTCATTGCGTAAAAAGTTTCTTTTTTTTTTTTTCAACTTTGCCTGTTTCATAAAGTGTATCATCATCAGTCGCTGCGAGACCATTTCTTTACATTGCCTAATTAGTACTCTTCCCGTCTGGACCATCAGAGTAAATTTGGATTAACACGTTGCCAAACAAACACCTATTTTTTTTTTTATTCATTTATCCCGCATACATCAAACGACTGGAACCACCTTCCAGCAGATATCGCAACTATACCCGATTATTTTCTTTTTCGCCAATCTTTGTTTACACTTCTGTTTGATGAGCCGACATGAGTCATTTTATTTTGTTTCTTTTGTTCGTAACAGATGTTGCTTACAGCTTTTGCCAATCCAAGTGTATTTTTGATTTTTTTTTTTTTTTTTTTGCCGCCGCGTGTTTTTTGTTTTGTCATTTTGTTTTATTTTTGTTTGCTTTACCCCTCCTCTCTACAATGCTTCGGCGATTGAGGGTGTGCGCAATAAATAAATGAATAAATAGTTGTCCGCCGAGCCCGATAAAGACATGGCGGAGACGGGATTCGTGTAACTCTCACCACTGTTCTTTTTTGTTTTGGTTGGAATTAAAATTGTACACGTTTAACTCTTCGCCACGCATTTCAGGCGGAGGTCGCTCACTTTTCTCATCCGTTCCAAATGGACTTGACTTGGACCGGCCCGAATCGAGAAGGCGAGTCCCGCTTTTATCTTGGCGTATGCTCTCTTTCAGATTGTGGAGGAACGAAGCGAGCGTCAGAATGAATGGCAGGCGTCGAAAATGGATTGGGAGGGAAAAATTATATCGACACAACTTTTGCGCTTTTTAATCTTTGGTTATTCAGAAGACAGCGTTGGATATTTGTTAGTATAAATCTATCAAAAAAATAAAAAGAAAGAAAACAGAGACAGAGCGAGAGAAATGAGAGCCAGCTGCATCCTTAAAAGGTGATGTCCACTTGCCCTGGGTAAGACGGAGTCCTTTCGCTTAATTCGATCATTTGGCTATTTACCTTTCATCGCATGCTTTTATTGTGCAATGACATTGCTGTTAAGTTATACAGAATGGAAAAGGAGGATGGGAAACTGTTACTTAAAGTTCATCCACAAAAATAAAAAATAAACAAAAACAAAAAACAAAAAAAAAACAAAAAAAAAACAGACGCAGTAAGTAAAAAGTGCAAAGGTAAAAAAAAAAAAGTCGTTCGTTTTACAAAAATAATTTATTGTGAAAATATTTTTCATAGTTTCCTGGTCTGATCTCTGAGTTAAATCTAAGAAGACCGTCGATGATAGTCGACAAAAACAAAATTGGAATCAAATCAGCTATTTCTGAATCGAAAAGAGAGATGATTAAATCTCTAGTTCAATCTGCTATTATTTATATGCTGCAGCGGGAAGGACTCTTTTCAGTCGTTTCGGTCTTCCCGAATCCAGGTAGTTAATTGAGCTGTGGGGCGCAGAAAAATTAACTGCGCCGGTTCAGAAAGAGCCATGACCCGGTCATTACTAGCTAATTAAGCTCTCTCGCCTGGACACGCGATAAACGACCAGACATTATACCGCATAATTAGATTGCTAATGGCTTCCCTTCGGTGCACGATAATTAATTTTGCGTTCGTTTACAAAGAAAAGGGATAAATAGAAACCACAAGCTAGGGTTCCGGGAGGTTTATTTTTCTTAGTATTCGGGGGTGTTTTTTCCAGGCTCATCCGCCCCCCCCCCCCCCCCCCTTTCACGGAATCGGTATTTTAACCTGAAACGTTTTTTGTTTAGGTGTTCGGCATTTCGTGAAGCCCAGATAAAAATGAAGCCCAGATAAAAGCGTGGCCGCGAGGCTCGACACTGATTGGTTGACGGGTGGGAGAGGGGAGGTGAGATGCTCGACACTGATTGGTCAACGAGGAGGTCATGTGACCACTGCAGAAAAGTAGGCGAGGAAAACCTCGACTTCCTGTGCGCGCTGAGGGAAAGCTCTTGAAAATATGGAAGGCCCTGGAAGCAGGTTTATGAGCCCGATTAGCGGTACTATGGCTTCATTTTAGAAAAAAAAAAAAAAAAAAAAAAAAAAACTGATGACGGGCATCGTAAACGTAGGCGCCTGGTGTCTGAAAACTCTGAGTATCGCTAAACGTTTCTGATGGTAGAACGTTTTACGTATGCAACACGATTGGCCTAGCGATTTGCCATGCATTTTTTTCGGTGTCTATTATCGTTGTCGGGGAAAAAAAGTCGGCGTTTATCAAAGCTTACGATGGAAAAAAAAAAAAAAGAGAACAGGGCATACTTGTGAGACACTCCAGCCTCAACATATAGTGGCGTGACCCGAATACGTGGGAAACGTCCCTCTACCAAGCATAGCAAACGTGACAAGGTAGGCGGTTCCTGAAGAAGAATGTTTCCTCGCGAACAGTTCAGTACAAGCTGTGTTTACGGAATAACAAAAAAAAAAAAAAAAAGGGGAAAAGAAGCTGTAGATATAATATTTATTTTTGAAAACCTTGTCTTTTTTTAAGGGGTGACACGACCCAGAAAAAGAAATTCTGCAAAAAAGTTGATTTTGAAAAATGCCATATTTACATCCGCCAACATGTTCCCAGAAAGTTTCATTTGTATACAGTGCATAGTTATTTAGTTTTTTATTGTTAATTATTTTCAGTTCATTAATGCTAAAGCAAAGGCTGAGTGAGGTTTGAGCACTTTGATTGCGTTTTTCTCGAATCCACCTTTTGGCATAAATCGCAGCTTAGTAAACTATCGTTTGAGTATGAACCTATCGAGAGACTTAATATTTGCGGCTTCTATGCCGAAATTTATGAAGCCGGTTACTATGGGGAACTTTGATTTTGCATTTTCATGTTCCTTTATTATGAAAAATTGTCAATTGCAAAACTTGGTAAGTGACAAAAACAAATGTTTTTTCATACTTTTTTCTTACCTGAAAATGCATATTTTCTGAAATTTCTTTTTATAGTAACCAGCAACAGGTATGCCAGTACGCATACCACCAGACAAATACGTGGTTATCAACACCATTTCTCGACGATAGATTTATTGAGCAGATTTCATTCAAAGCCGTGGGCGTACCAACCGGGGGGGGGGGGGGGGGGGGGCGGGGGGGGTGAGGCATGTGTTTTGTTCCCGCTCCCCCCCCCCCCCGAAACAGCCGCGACTGGGCAGGGCAAACACTGGCCGGCGACGTCCAAGGGATACCAAGGGCACCGCACCCCGGCCCTGTGAGGGGGGGGGGGGGGGGGTCTGGTTTGCCTCACCCCCCCCCCCCCCCCACCACCTCCCCACTCAAAAACAGGTTGGTACGCCACTGTTCAAAGCTATGCTTTACTTTGTTCTGGGGTTCACAGGGCTGAAGCTTTGCCTTTGGTTCACAGGGCTGAAGCTTTGCCTGCCCTTCTTCTACATGGCTACAAACACCACCTGAAAATATCACGCCGATTGAGTGAGCGGTTTAAAAGTTGACATTCCCAGGTAGTGTACTCCCTTAATCAAGGACAAGTCAAATTATGGTTTCTTCGGTCTTTAACGAAAACGCTTAGCCCTGCACGCTTGCTACCCATTTTCTATAAGTGCGGCCGTCTCACTCTGCGAGATGTTGTGACTGCATTGCCCGGAGTGGATCATTTTAAATACCTCTACCTCTTGCGTAAACGCCTGCGGCAGACGCGGAGGCTCGTTCTCTGTGCGTAGGCTACCCAGTGTGTCGGTAAAGAGACGTCGCGACGTGGCTTTTAAAGGTGGTCGTAATGGGAGTTTTCGCAGACCGTTTTCCCACCTCCGCTACGCTCTCCGGAACGAAGACGCCACAACTGCGCATGCGCGGCGCTAGCCTTGCCTGCAGAGTTCCAGATGTCGTAGAGGGTTGCGGAGAATGTTGCGAGACAGCGGAAACCATCTACGAAAATTTCCTAATAATGCATGCCTACTCGCGCTGACACGATCATATAAAAGCGGTCACTGTGCTCTTCCCGCCCACAGATGGCGACTTAGACAGCGTGGCCCAGCTCTACCTCGAGGTGATCTCTCAGGACTTCTGGAGCAGGTTTCACGTGGAAGGTTACGCATACTGCGACGTCTCCAATAACCCCGGTGAGCGTACAGGCTGTACAACTCACGAATGGTGGTGGAGCACGGTGGTGTGTTCCGTCAAAAAGCGGGGGCGGGGATATACCCTATAATCCGTGCGAGGTACAAGACGACAGACGCCAAAAGATATATGAAAAAAAAAAAAGGAAGAAACAGAAAAAAAAAAAGGGAAAAGGGAAGCACGAATGCGTGTAAAGGCGCTGGTTCACACATATGCGTTCGAGTGTCATCGACTGCGTTAATTAACCAGCGCTGATGACCGTTTACGACGAGAGCAGAGCCGTATATTGGGAGGGTCGTCTGGTCTCGCATGACGATTGCGACGCCCACACGACCACCGATGTCTTCCAGGGCGGACGTCAATGTCGCTGAAGACGTGGCGTCCAGTGTCCACGCGCCTCGACTCCAGGATGCGGCGGTTCTTCACCGGCGGCGATCCCCAACTGAGGGACCTGAGCAACACCGCCGTGCCAGCGGACGCTGCTCCGGTAAGCTCGCTCCCTCTCCGAACATAGCACCCTCCGTGACACCTAGAGAATTACTACGCATCGACACTCTATTCTCGTGAGCGCCGCCATTCTTTGTCGCCTCCTGCAGAGCAGACCTTCTGCAAAGAAGCGTACAGTCCCGTCCACGGCGCCGAAAGGACTGCCGGGAACGCTAGGTACAGAACCGGTCGTAGCCGATTGGCGATCGTTACGATTAGAAAATCTCGGGCGACATCGTTTTGCTTCGTCGCGGCATCATTTCTATTATAGACGACGGAAAGCCGTTTCTTACGATATTTCAGATGATAACTGGCCACAATAATTTGAAGCGCCAAGATATGGCTCAAGCGTCGTCACTTAGACGACCCGCAAAAGTCGATTTCTCAACATATCTCGCTACGGTTTACTACGGTTTTGAATCCCTCCTAAATTAATTCTGTCTTTTTGTAAAACACTTGTTCTTTTGTTTCTGCGACATGTTTGCTATTTTGTATGCCTGCATGTCTTGTTAATCAAATGCATACCCACCTGCTAGAATCCCTTTCAGGAATTGCAGTATCAATAAATAAATAAATAAAGGGGTGCAGGCAAGTGGTCGACTTTTATAATTAAAAATAAGTTAAATAAATAAATGACAAAAAAAAACTTACCTCTTCAAAAAAAAAAAAAAAATACAAGACAAAAGTTTGTTTTGGGCAATTTACGCCGCCACTTCGCAGGCGATGCGCGCGTAGGGGTAAGTGCTGCGCACAGATCGCGTGCGATGCGTCGAGGGACGGCCGGACGATTTGGGTTATGATAGTAAATAATCCCGCAAAAAGAACCCGAATCGGCATGCGTTCCGTCGACGCGGCGTACGCCATCTGTCGGCAGCACTTATCCTTGCGCGCACATCGTCTGCGAAGTGGCGGCGGATTACCCAAAACAGGTTTCAATTTTAACGTGAAACGTTCTTTGGCTAGTTTTTCCGCATTTCGTGAAGCCACATTTCGTGAGGCCGTGGCCTGTAACGCCCCATAACACAACGCGCGCAGTGTTGCATTATGGGACGTCACAGACCTAAACACCAATTCAATTTCTCCGCTGAATTCGGCGGGGAAGTTGAACTGATGTATAGGTCACGTGACGTCAATTTCCCCGCTAAATTTAGCAGGAAAATTAACGTCTCGTGACCTACACAACAATTCAGAATCCCTGCTAAATAGGATTCTGAATTGTTGTGGTGCTTGATGCTAAAACGTTTGCAATGCAATTTTTTTTTTTTTTTTTTTCTTAACGAGGTAAGTTTATTTTTTCATTTTATTACTGTAAACTTCCACCACCTGCTTGCACTTCTGTGCAATAAATTACAGCGCGATGCGTTCAGAAACTGTTTTTTGCGGGCCGTCTAAGGTGCCTGTTCGCCTTTCCGGTATGCTATTTAGTATCGCGAAATTCAGAATAGTTATTGTGAAATCGGCAAATGAAAATGACGCCGAAACGCAGATTCGAATATACCCGCTCTTTTCGTTGCCGTGACGTCACGGGTGGGCCGGCTTGCGGTTCGAGCGGGCAGTCTAAGAATGAACTATGCCGAGCATTTGTATCGAGCTGCTGCGCGGGAGCTGGAGCGACTTTCCAAAGCATTCATTTGACACCATAAAAGCACCATAAAACTGTTTGTAACCAGTTGGGGACAAAGTCTACAGCCCAAAGAGTGAACCCCTGCCTACCTATGACGTCACTTTTTCAATGTTGCCAGTAGTGCTTTTCACTTCGAAAAACAGGGCCAAAATTGTAAATTCTGTAACTTCGCGAAAAAAAAGTTATTTTGTCCAAATATTTGGGTTACTAGTTCAGCGATGTGTGTTGGAGTTTTTAGCAAGTTTTTAGGCAAAACGGGGACTATGAAGAAAACGGCGAGTACCCAGGGTATTTATGATGACAAAGGTTTCTATTTGTACATGACATATGAGAGCCCAACTTCCCAGAACACAATTTGCGACTCAAAATTCGTTTTCTTTCCACCCGAAAACCGCCGATCGAGAGCTGGCCGGTTTGAGTCGCGCTCACTCTCTTCTCCGTGTGTCACGTGCCGTTTTCTATTGTTTAGACACAGCCACCAAAGATAATCAAAGTCATGGGTCATGTATATATATATATATATATATATATATATATATATATATATATATATATATATATATATATATATATATGTATGTATGTATACAGGGTGTTTCAGAGAACACAGGCCAAATCGCTCCTGCGAAAACTAGGCATCGCACAGAAAAAAAAAGGTTCATGCCGTGTTGGTTTCTGCCCAAGAGCCTATTTAGGAAATATAATAACGTCTAAAAAAAAATAGATTTTTTTTAGAAACTAACTTTTTATTTGTTCATTTTAAGGCCATAGATTCAATTAGAAACTTACCGGGCATCATCAATAACTCCTATATCAATCCTTTTTCGACAAGTATAAAGCATGCCGAGCCTTTTACCATGTTTTGAAAAACCCTCCAATTCTGACGCGTACTCTGGTTTCGGATTCTTATCCATGGGCGTACGTACCAACCCGAGGGGGGTCGCTTGCCCCCCCAATTTTCAGAGTTACGGGAAAGGCATGTGTTTTGCACCCCCCCCCCCCCCCCCCCCCCCCCCCCCCCGCCCCTCACCCTCCCCGAAACAGCCGCTACGGCAGGGCAAACACTGTCCGGCGGTGACCAAGGGATACCAAGGGCACCGCCTCCCGGCCCCGAGGGGGGGGGGGGTGTCTGGTTTGATTCCCGCCTTCCCCCCCCCCCCCCCCCCCTCCCCCCTCAAAGCCAAGTTGGTACGCCACTGTTCTTATCCAAGCGCGTCTTGGCGGCAGCTGTCCTGCCCTCCGACGGGCGACGCGCGGAACCAAGGCCGGCGCAAAACTTAAAAGTCAAAGCTCAATCTTGCAATGTCATGCTCTTTCGAACAGCGGGGCGTTCCTTATCGCCTGGCTACGCGCGCGCCAGGCGATAATTCGCTATACTTTGGCCGATGTTATGAGCCGAAGGGCCAATCAAACAGCGAAAGAGACAAACGTCATGGCGTTCTGCCTCTTTCGCTGCAGTTGATAGGGCTAGCCGGTATTCGCCGTCTCTCTGTGTGTGCTCCTCCGCCGGCTAGTCTTACCAAGCGCAAAGAGCACGCCATGACGTTGCGCTTTTTGCGCTGTTTGATTGGCCCTTCGGCTCATACCATCGCCCGCGCTCGCCGCCCGCCTGCCCGCCTCCCTTCCCTCTCTCTCGAAAAAAAAAAGAAAAGAACTGTAGCGCGCGCGCGTGGCCAGGCGATAAGGAACGCCTCACTGTTCGAAAGAGCATGACATTGCAAGATTTAGCTTTGACTTTTGCGCTGACCTTGGTTCCGCGCTTCAGCCGTCGGAAGGCAGGACAGCTGCCGCCAAGATGCGCTTGGATAAAAATCCCAAACCAAAGTACGCGTCAGAATTGAAGGGTTTTCCAAAACGTTGTAAAATGCTCGGCATGCTTTATACTTGTCTAAAAAGAATTGATAGAAGGGTTATTGATGATGCCCAGTAAGTTTCTAAATGAAACTATGGCGTTCAAATGAACAAATAAAAAGTTACTTTCTAAAAAGCTTTTAAAAAACTATTTTTTTTCTAAACGTTATTATTCTTCTCTAAATGGGCTCTTTGGCTGACACCCAAATGGCATCAATCTTTTTTCTGTGCGATGCTTAGTTTTCGCAGGAACGATTTGGCCTGCATTTTCTGAAACACCCTGTGTATGTTGCAATACGAATTTTCGGATTTGCGGGCGAAACCGAAACTGTACCACTTTTGGATGACAATGATAGCGTTTGTACCTCACTAGTGTGCCCTGTGAGGCAACACTGAGGTCAAGCAAACTGAAAACTATGGTAAAGTTTAGTTAACTTTAACTATGGTGCCTGGAGCGCGTCATCGACTGGTGTGTTTAGCGTCCTATGCTGCCCATAGCCCATGCATCAAAAGGAGTCCCGAAGTTGCAACAAATGACGTCACAGAAGCCGAAGTGTCATACCGTTGCATGTCGCGATCCTGGCGGTTGGTCGTAGAAATGCTAATCAGAAACTACGAGTAGCTCTATCGAACGCGAGTGAAGCGATCGTCACGGTGTCTCAGTTTCTGGCTGACGAAGCTTCCGTGGACTGCCACACTGGAACGACCTGCAGCAGAACAGGCATCTGCCACATATACACCACAGCCAACGTGAATTATAGCTATTGAGACGCCACCAGGATCGCGACTGGCGGCGTCTCACACTTCTGTGACGTCATGGGGAAAAGTCGGAGAATCGTTCAAGCCATAGTTCCAGGCACCATACTAACCCGTGATCACGGTGGAAGAAACATATTTAGGTGGTGATGAGCCATAGTTCCGGCCGCTGTTCCCGCGGGGAGCGAGCGACCAGATCGTGTTCGGAGCTAGCCTCGAACCAGGAGTAGTTAGTTCTGGGCCGCCGCGGAGGGCGCTGCGGTATGAGGTCCCTCCTCGGCGGCCACGGTGTCGGCGGCGTAGCGTGCTCGCCTTTTTCGCGGTGCAATGATGTGGTGGTGATGTGCGGCCAGTGGCTAGCCTCGTGCTTTGCTTTGGTGCTGTGTCGATCACAGGTGCCACCATCGTGCACAAAGGTGAGCCTTAACCCGAATAAGAAGAAAAGGAAGATATCACAAATTTACGGACTCTGACGACTTGGTGGTGGTGTGGCGGCAGTGAGGAACAACAAGAAGCGGTGAGCCAGGAAATGCGGGACCACCGGAGAAACAATCGGAGCGGTCGGTTTGGGAGGGACTTGGGCGCCATATATCCCTGTGCGAGTGAAGCGCTCGGTGCGCCGAACATAATGAGGCCGCCGCGTCAGATATCACGTGTTTCCTCCACCGTGCCCACTAACCATACCCAAACGCACACCAAATAAAACAATAGTTGGGTACAAGCGCTATCATAATCATCACACAGGAGTACGGTCTCAATTTCGCCCGCAAATTGAAAAATTCTTATTATACCCAACTATTTGTATTAGGTAAAATAAAAAATCGACAAACATGATTTTTGAGACATGCCCTACATGCCGTATAGTGGCGCTTTTCCAGCTATCGAAATGCTGCGTCGTGCATGCTCAGCTCAAGGTCTTGCTCCCTTGTCCAGGGGAAGCGGTTGAGCAAGTACGGCATCGTGACAGAAACCAGCGGCACCGTAACTGTCGTCCTGAACGTCGTTCGCCAGACCACGTAAGTCTTCTCCAGGCTGTATGCAAGCACGCCCGTGTTTTCCCTCACCAGGTGTGGACAGTGAGCGTGCTCCGAATCCGGATTCGCGTGAGGTGAAGTGTCGTCTGCGCATGTGCCGTGCCGACAGCAGCGCCACCGCAGGGGCGTGACGTCAGAACCGCGTGTTCAGTCAACACCACCGTTGACACCACCCAGAAAAGCGGAAGCCCTTTGCACCGTGATCACAGTCAGATCGATCGAAGCCCGAGATTGGGCACGAGTGCTGGGTCAGTGTTCGGCTGGGGCTCGTGTTCAATCAGCGCATCGGAGGCCGGGTCAGAGTTAGCGCGCTCACACTGTGATGGTGTTTTGTGAAAGGAGAGGAGGCGACGCGGATGCGGACGCTACGAGGCACCGGTACCACAGGAATCCATCCAGAGCTCAATGATGGTCACGTTACCTTTTGGTTAGCCGAAGTGACTCGCGGAGTGTGACGTCACGTGCAAAGTGTGGCGTACAGGAAAACGGAAACGGAAGCAGCGTGGCGTACGGGGAAACGAAAGTTGATCACATGCTCGGAGGAAAAGTAAACCCACAGGCGAGCTACGGACACGTTCGTAGGTTTTAATTGGAATAAAGCTAACTACCTCCGCATTGCGTAGAAGTAAGCAGAAACTACAAAATTTGAACTGTCACGTTTGCCCGAGTCATAGTAGAGTAGGAGAAGAAAATACTCATTAGTTGTCTCGAAAGATATGATTGGTTCAAAAAATCTTTCTGGAGCGCGACAGCAATTTGAAACCGACTAATCGATGGGGAACATAGCGCGGACATATGAGTGCAAGGAATTAAAGGTAGTCCGAATAGTATTATACTGAAATTCATATAATACGCTCTAGTAGAAATTGATTGTTTTGTTGAAGTTCTGAAGGTTGCAATAAAACCATGCCGTCCCTAATTTTGTTATATATTTATATATATTAAAAAAGATTTGTATAGTTATAGATAATGCAAAGTCAGCATGCGGGGGATAATTATGCCTTAAAGACACGCTTCACTAACGACTGTTAAAAGCTTATCTGGTTCCAATTTAAACATTATATACTGCGCCGAACAGCCGAAGAATCGTTCATGCAAACACTACGCAAAAAGAATTAAAAAAAGTATATGTCATATTGGTTTTTGCCAAAGGGCCTATTCAAGAAAATCAATAACGTTGATAGCAGACGCACGAAGACGACGCGCGCTGCGACGATGCAATTTCGGCGCTGCTTGATTGGCTCGTTCGGATCGTGGGTTTCGGTTTTCTGTCCGAGCGCATCAGTGTAGGAAGCCCGTATTGCAGAGAGTTTCCAACTGCTCGATCGTGGTCATGTGGCTTATGGGCCGCGTCAATGCAATGCGGAGCGGAAATTCGTCTGCTTCTTGTGCAGGAGTTGCGATGACGTCAGAAAAACGCCGAGCTCTGATTGGCTCTGAATGAAGGATAGTGGGTAGACCTCAAGGCAGCTTGCTTCGAGGTCTACCCACTATCCTTCAATCATAGCCAATCAGAGCTCGGCGTTTTTCTGACGTCATCGCAACTCCTGCAAAAGATGCAGAACGTATACGTTCGGCATACGAGCTGCAAGGAGGTACCGAAAGTATTGACCGTCTGCTAACGTCTCCGCCCGCTTTCTTCCTCGCCCCTCGAAAACGCAGCGCATGCGCACCTGCGGGAGGGGCTCGCCATTAAACCGCAAACGCTCCCCGTGGTTGGAGATGGAGCTTCTCTTGAATCTAGGCTCTCTACATCTTTGCACCAGCGGTCCTGCTCCCTGTGGCCAATGCGCGAAACTAAACATTGCGCCACCATACGCTCTTTGCAGGAGGAGGGGACCGGGGAAGGGAGGAAGGTGACCACAAGAACCAGTTTATTTTTGCAATGTCATTCAAACAGCACAGCGTTTCAATTCGCCGGCTGGCTTATCACTTCCTTCTCAGTAGTTGCGGTAGTTGCGCGCTTTGGCCCCGGGGAGTAGGACCGCTCTGGCGCAGCGTTGCGTTCTTATAGGAAACCGAAAGTTAAAAACGGGTTCAAATATAATGTTTTCCAGATTGCCGTAAAGTACCGCGCATGCCTTATATTTTTTGCAAAGTGGACTGATCTGGAGTCGTTTTCGATGGGACCCAGAACGCTTCTAATTGAGACCGTAGCTTTAAATTCAATATAAAAAAAGTGAATTACTGGACAGCTATAATTGACCTAATTACACCGAACGCCATTGATTTCCTCAATAGACCCTATGACACGGACCAATGCATAAAAAAATTTTCTGTGCGATGCGTAGTTTTCGCAGGAACGATTGGGCCGGCGTTTCTTGAAACACCCTGTATATGGATGAAAACTAAACGAGGTACCTGACATACAAAATTAAAACCCGCAAAGCCTCCCACCCAAGGTTAATTAGAAATGATCTCGTTACACTCAAGTCCTCCCGTATAAACCGATTTCACCAGCCAGTGTGGCAATGCCACCACTACCGAGATGTAGCGAGGGAACTGTAATATTTTTGTACGTGCGACAAGCACGCTGGAGCTCTGCCCGTCCAAAGCACGAGACAGCATGAGCCGTTTCGTTTACTGCCGGCTGCCTCCTGTGAGGTCAGTCTTTTTGACAAAAAAAAGAAAATACCATTAATGCAAGGAACTAATTAGGATCCCGCCGTCTATAATATACACTTCCCGCGATTTTATTATGAAAAATTTGCTGCACTGTGGCAAAGTGAACACAAAACAGCAACATTCACCATGATTTATTATTGTTATTGTTATTATTAAACGTGCGCGCGCACTATCCTGCTCTGGAGGAGTGATTTTCACCCGAGTATGCGACTGTGCCAAGACCACTCAATCTTGGCATCAACTTTCAAGCGGCCGTGGCTGCGCTGCAGGGAAGCGCTCAAGGGCGATGTTCAGAGCGCATGCTCATATGACCGGCAATCTTGATGGTGCGGAATGCACGTTGCAAAGTAACTGTGGAAGCTCGCCGTAAGCACGCCTATGGCCGCCAGCGAATGCAATGATATCGCATATTGCGATATCGCAATGTCTACTCTGCGACTGTCGCTTCTCTACATAGCGCCAGTGCGTGGGGAGAAGGAAACTCAACGGAGCGAACTTGGCTGTCCCGAGAGAGCCAACGGCGAACGACGAGTAATATTATGAACTTCTGGATAGTGTCAATGCTCGCCGCTCGGTACTAAGATTACATATATATAGAATAGCAGTTTATTCAAAGCGACAATCGAAAGCAATGAAAATTCGCACTAGGACATGTTGTGGCAAGTGGTTTTAGCTTTGAAAAAGTGGAATTACACTTCGGTACAACTTTGGATCGAAATCCTTACATCTTTGTGAAATGTAGAAGAATGGATCCGGGTAAGTAATTTAGTATGCAGTATGCCGAAATGACGTAACAATCGCATCGCTGTATGCGCGAAGAAAAAAAAACTTAACTTTAACGACTAGTCCAAATACATAATTTTCCGACGAGCGTGTCTACGTAGTAACCAAGAATACAAAAGCTAAACACAAAGGAGGCACGAGGGCAGACATGTACAGACCTGTATAGCAGGATATTTAGGTATCCCACTATGGATACCTAAGTGTCCTACTATGTACACATTTCCATGGTAATTAAGACACTTGGACATAACGAGAGATCCCTCGCCTGCAGGTGTGGCTTTCATGTTCATAATCTTTCACTACTCCATAGCCCGAAATAGGAAATGACGGATCAATAAAACTGTACCTCTAGGCCAGCACCAGACATCTACTATTTCACAAACCTTGTTCAGTGAAGATTATAGGAACACGCGCGCAAGTATAGCTATCAAAAATACCTTGTTTGCACATGCGCTCACGCAGGAAAAAAGCTTCATAAAATCGCGCAACTTCAGGATGGACATAGTACAAAAGTATCACGTGTCATTGCAGGTCCAAATCCCAAGAACACGAGACCATTCGCCGGTTCTTGGGAACAATTGGGTAAGTAACCGTGCAACGAAGTAAAAACTAGGTAAACGTTGATTGCATCTAAAAGGCAGAAACTGAACAGATGTGAAAACAATATTCGCGTGCTTTCAATTCAGAATTTAACTTGATTTGTTGTGCAAGGCGCCAATGCAGAGATACCGTTTCTACTATCCAGAAAACGAGCGACGCAGTCGAGTATCACCGCTGTCTTGGCCTCCTTCCACCGTGCCAGAAGTCGGATGTTGGCAGCAAGGGCCGGTCATCAAGTCTAACGGCATCGTGTGCAAGGTCGTAATTATCACTGAAACTTCAGCATCATCACTCAAGTGGAACAAACCTCGCAGCTTTATCGTCTCCTTCAAGTAGTACCAATTCCTGTACTCTCCCCTATTGGGGCTCACCTATACGTATGAAATTCTGATGGCACAAGTACTGCTTGACGATGCTCATTGTTTCCGTCACTCTATAATCTGTGCAGCACACCTCTGTACCGAAATAATGGTGATTGCTAATAAAACTGTGTAGCAGTAAAGACCTCCCAAAACGCTGGCAACTTAACGAATATTGTGAAACATGCCGTACTTCGGTGGTCAGCAAGTCTGACCTGCTTTAGGAGGTGCCAAAGATGCTTGGGTACTCGACTTGGTCTATGTTTCTTTGTTGTATTTAGAAACCATCCAAACAATCGCCTTTGGCCCATTGTCATTTATAGTGCGAAAGCATTAACTGTCTCATGGAGCGAGCCGACGTCATCAGTTTGAAGCGCGAAAACGGCACCTAGTTTCCCTGATCTCAAAGGTCCCATTGGCTGGCGCGCGGCGACGAGGCCCACTGGCCGCGGTGCGCGTCAGTTTTAAAGATTGCCGCCAGATGGCACTGTGTATCCGTGCCGCCGCCGTGCCGCCTAGAGTGCCTTCGTACACACGCGCGCTTCTGCTTCAGTGGTGACATCTCAGCCATTTTTCCGCCCAATCGTTTTGTTATGCATTTTGAAGTGCGCGCAATCCGGTGTCCCTCAGCTCGAGCGCGTAGCTTTGGTTAATGCATAAACACCATTTCACTAGGGTGCCTCAATGTCCTTCTGTTTAGGGTGATGCCACCCTTTGTAGTACCTGATGCCGAAAACACGTGCTCGAGGGTAAAATAAAAGAAATTGACGAAAACAAAATGTCATTATAGCACAGTCATCGCCACAAGCGCGTGCAGGGACACGCTCTTGCACGCGCTTCTGAGCAACAAATAAAAATAAAAGTATGGGACAAAATGGCCAGATGTCTCCACCCTAAGCAAAGCGCACATGAAGGCACCCTACATTTTACCGCCTAAATCACGCACCGAGCGCGCGAGAGCGTCACGCGCTGGCACAATCAGGGCAACAATGGATGTCTTCACCCTGAGACAAACATGTAGGCACCCTAATGCCGCCAGCGCGCCGATAAAACTAACCGCTGCATCCCCATGCCACTACGGGCCACGCTGGCGCGCGCTCAAAGGCTTCTGCTCGTCTCGATGCCGACGAACATGGCGCCGCCTCTAGCATATAGCTCGGACATTGATGCTTTCGCATTCACAACTCATAAGTGGTTAGGTGTCTTCAGGCTTTTTTAGTGGGCTCTAGAGTACCTTCTGCGCACGCACAGATACTCTGTTGTGAAAGATCTGATGCAGTGTACGCACCCACAGCTCAGTGACTGCGTACACAGTATACTCTCTTGTGCAAGACCTGATGCCGTGTGCACACTCACGGCTCAGCCGACTGCATTTTTCTTCTAGGTCCCGGAATGGTGTAGACACTGTAGAAGTAACATAGTAGGTGCATACTCGTCGACACCAAAGACATCTGTACACTTTTTGTAACAAGCATGTTTTGCCTGGCCCCTTTTTCTACTTGTACCACTTTTACCTTTTCTTACCCCTCTTTTGTGATTACAAACAGGCCCAGAAACCAAGGTTTTTACTTTTTAATTTTTAGATTAGGGTTTTCCTCAGAAGCATGTCCACCCATGAAAAAAAAAGTTACCTATTTGCATCTTTTTTTTTTTTAACACACAGGGGAATGACTTGCAAAGCGAGAGTGTTCTATGCTGACTTGCAACTAAAGTGCAAGCTCATGCCTTTTCCTGAACTTCAACTGTGTCCTTCCAACAGTTTACATTCACTTGTCATTGTCAGGATCCATCACCACCAGCACAGACAGACCTTAAGGACATTTAATAGATTTTTGACGCATTGAATCCTGCCTCGGATGCCTAACTATACCAGCACCTCTGGGAAGACGCCATCAGAAAATATTCATCTTCAACTGTGAACGAAAGATTCGCTTCAGTATTAATATAGTTAAGTAGTCGACAGACAAACATTATTGTGAGACAGTAGTTTATTCCTGCCATGTGCTCCCCATCCAATCAATGACTATGTACCACACTTTATGACAATTTTACACATGACAGCATTTGAAAGATGAAACACTTTAGAAAATATTTGTAAACAAATTATATTTGGCAGAGAACAATCAAAGCCTCTAAAAGAAAGACTTTGACAAGTGACACAGAATTAACAACACAAGCCTTTGTAAGGTTAACTACCAATGAAACTAACGTAACACTCGGGGGAAGAAAAACACACACAGCAATTGAGTTGAGATGACCATGATCCAGAATAAAAAGCAGCAGCCATCTTGCAATTCAAGGCACTAGCAACTATGAAAACCATTCGGCTTCATTTGCCATAATGTGCAAAATGTGAAAATCATTGCATTTAAAAACCTGAAAAAAGTTTGTCCCTTTTTTTTTTAATTTTTACAGTCTCAGGTTTACCTGCATAATAAAAAATTCACCAGGTCACCAGAGTCATTAGCGTTCTCCCCCGTCAACGTCATTCCGCAAGTCTAAAGACTTGAAATGAATGCACATAACCTGATGTAAACGTTTTCGGTGATCGATGATTTTTGACAACACAATTCCATAGTAGGCTGCTCGTTATAAAAACCAATGACGAAGGCAGACTAACGATGACCAGGTTGTGCCCACAACACAGGCACAACTATTTCTTTGGCAACTTCCCTCCCACTGTCATGGCTAAGTTTATGAACATTTTTGGTCTAAAAAAAAAAAAAAGGTGGGTGGGACAACTTCTGCAGGTACAAGGGCTACACAAATCAATAACCTCTGTCTCAGCAAGAAAAAAAAGAAGACTTTTAAGGTCACTTATTAATGTGTCTCAAAACGATCCCGAACGTCGCAATAACCGGCATGTAACGATCTCGGCGGTTGGTAACGGAGGTGCCGGCGAAAAAGGAGAGCGGACGCGAGGGTCACCGTCGTCGCAGCGTCAACGGAAACCAGTGCGTCTGCACTGGTTTCAATTGACTGTCAAAACGACCAGCAGCAGAGTGGGCTGCTGCTGCGTCCGCCATCCAGACGCCGGAAAATGCCGGCGTTCCGCCTCAGGACGGGCACGGGAGCCGCCGGCTAGCAGCCGCCCACGTCCTTCCTGCTGCGCCTGAGCATCCGGGTGTCGCTGGGGTCGAAGCCCCTCTCACGGGCCCCGAAGGTGGCCCAGGGGGGCAAGGGCGCCGCATAGTCCAGGGACCCGAAGGGCTCCCCGCTCTCGTAGTGCCTCTGTACCAGCTCGTGGAACCTCTCGTAGTCGATCCACGTGTGCCACACGCCGTCCACGCGGAACTGCATGGGGCAGGCGAGGACGGAGCATTGAGAGGTTGCGGCCCGGATGGAGGGGGACGAGACGTGCGCAATGCAACCTCTAAGGGGAGCCGGTGAACGTGGAACTGCATGCCGACGAAACCGGAAGGGCATCGTTGCCCTTTTAAGGGGACACTCGAGTGAATTCTAAGATCGTCTATGTATTGTCGTAACTCAATCTATGGGCTTTAAGCGTCTTAAAAAACCCGAAATCACATTCATGAGCGGCCAATTTCTCTATTAAAAATCCAATCAAACATTGTTCCGCGCTTCTCTTACTGCGCTGTGGCAGAGCACCAGGGTGCGCACAGGAAGGCAATAGGAAGGGCACGCAACCGCCAATCACGAATGACGGTTTCCCGGCGAACTGATTTTTCGAATGTGTCGGGAAGCCGGCGTATTCGTGATTGGCTGTTGCGTGCCCTCCTCTGCTGCCTTCCCGTCCGAGGGCGCCCCCGGGTGTTCTCTGTCACCTTACAGAAAGGGGGGTGTGGCACGATCCTTGGTTAGATTTTTAATAGGGAAATTGGCCATAGATTGAGTTATGACAGTAAATATACAAACTCAATATCCACTTGAGTGCCCCTTCAAGAACTTTCTAAACATACTCCTGTATCGGCCAAGTGTTTTTTTGTATTTTTTTCCCCAGGTTTCCGACTTGCCCGAGCCAACTAATAGCACGAGCCGACTGATTCTCTCAAATATTGTTGGACTCGAATGAGGGGAAGCAAAATGTTGCATGTTGCGTAAAAACTGTAATCGTTATTTTTGAGCAAACATCCGATGCTTCCTCAAAAATTTATCTTTAGAAAATGTAGTAACTTTTTCAGAATTAGAGTTTAGGTTTTCTCGGTGAAAAAAAAAGTAGAAAAGAATTGGGTAATGTCCTCGCGAGTTATGTGACATCAATATTACCCGTAGGACATAGAAAACTCCCTCCTACCTTCTTAAACATATTTTTTTTCTAAATCGTAACAATTTATCTGCACATTAAAACATATACTAGATGATGGATGGCATGACTGAGCCATCCAATATCGTCACCTAAGCTTTCAGGTAGGCCAGCAAACGAAGATGATTGAGTTTGATTGTCTTCGCATCAATAAAGCCAACATACAAACAAATGCTATCCATTTCCAATGTCTCGCTTAACCCCTTAAAGGGATACTGAACCAAGGAATTTAGTGTCCCAAATAAGTGGCGCACATTCTTTCCACGAGCCAGCAGCCGCCGGTGTGCGCGAGCACACGCAACAAAAATGACGTCAAAGACCTCCATTCGCGGTTAAGATGACAGTGAAAAGTATGGGCTTCGGGCCAAGGGAGAATAAAGACAAGTTTTTCATCTACACAGTGGTGTCTGGTGTAAAAGGTAAGCGATTAATTGGTATAACAAGCACATAGTTTTCCCTTGTAGAGATGAAAAGCCTGCCTTTGTTCTCCTTTGGCCCAAAGCCCATGCATTTCACTGTCCTCTGAAGCGCGAATGGAGGTCTTTGACGTAATTTTCGTTGTGTGTGCTCGCGCACACCGGCGGCTGCAGGCTCGTGGAAAGAACGTGCACCACTTATTATGGACACTAAATTATTTGGTTCAGTATCCCTTTAAGTGGGGAGTTTTTCTTGTGGGTACACGACCCATGTCTCGGGGAGTATTTTTACTCCAGAATATTAAAAGAATGTTTTTGAACTAAAAGTTCACATCTGTTGTTTATTTACATCCATGGAAAGATATAAAACATAGCTACTTCTTCTGTTGAGCACGCTTTCCCCAGAAAGGAAAGCATGCTCTGGAGGCTTTGCTGTCTTGCCACGACAACGTGGACGATGCGCATGTGCTCACCGTCAGCACATCATCCAGGTCTCTTCCATCATCGTGGTTGTAAAGCAACGAGGTTTTGCTGTCACTATGCATGGTGTACTCATTGCCCGAATCATTGTCGTCATTTTGCCCAAGCGATGCTTTTCACCACTTCCGAGCACCCATGATCCAGAATGAGAACAACGGAGATATTTTCCACCAAAACATTTCAATTATGCCACAACCCAGAAAATGCAAATAAATTAACCACGTTTAATTTTGTGTTTGATAAATGGCAGCACCTACCGTAAAGCACTGAGCATCCGCCCACTCCACAATAAGCACCCACCCTCAATTTTTGTCACATTCGGAGCGTTCATTCCGAGGAGCGCCCATTCCCCAGTTTTACATGATTACAGTATAGACCACTTACAACGTAACCGCTTATAGTGCAGGACTGGGTATAACGCGGCTTTTTTAAACCACCGGTTCGCCTCCCATAGAACTCCATGTAATTACATACCGCTTAAAATGCAGGCGCGCGAATGGAAATACCGGTTATAGTGCAGTTTCTGGAACAGCCCGCAGACCGCGCCGACCGACCGGCACAGCGAGCACGCTTCCCTGTGCGACACTAGATGACGACGCTAGCCGCAAGCGGCACTTGCGGGGCAAGGAGGTTGCTCGGAGAAGCGAAGAGAGAGGCTTCAGTTGCCATAGCGACGGAGGGACGCACGCACGTGTCGTTCACGTGCGTGCATCCCTCCGCTGGCTCCGCTGCATTAGAGACAACCTCAACGACAGCCCAATCGCAGGTCGAGGAGAAGTGTTCGCGCGCGTTGCATGCCAGTCGCGGTCCGGCTTCTTCTATCTGCAAACATGGCGTCGGTTGTGATCGTCGACGTAGATGGCGTGGTGGAAGCTCATCGTTCCGCGTAAAAGCGCTATCCTTGACTGTGAATTTTCGTTGTGTGTCGCTATGATAACCCAGCACGTACTAGAAGGGAAGATCCACCTACCTGTGTGGCGATGTCGTGGCGGCACTCTCAAGACAGCAGAAACGCCCGTGTCGTCGTGTTTGTTTACTTCGACTACGGTGGTGCTTTCTAAGCATTTGTGTTTTCGAACATCGCCCGGATTTCTTATTTGGAGCATTTCATGCCTGTGCTAAAGTTAAGATATTACTGGCGCGTACCGTATAAAGGATGCAAATTTTCACGCATTTTCATCACTGGAGAAAAGTGATTAGGGTTAGCAATCCTGAACGCTCGCAACGTCCGTCCGCAACCTGCGACGCCAATAAAAGGCTGCGCCAGGCAAAAGTCTCTCATTTCTTTCGAAATGTGTGACACACTTGAGAAAGAAGTGTACTAGTCTGGTGAAATAAAGACTTTCCTCAAACTAACCTTTATTTTTCATCTGTACTAGTCTGGTGAAATAAAGACTTTCCTCAAACTAACCTTTATTTTTCATCTAACACAAAATAAATTCTTTTACAAAGGTAAGTTATCTCACAGCATGCATTTTGGCCTGAAAAATTGATGTTTTGGTTATAACGCGGTATCGCTCATAGTGCGGATTTTCGCGACTCCCGCGACATACGTTATATGCGGTCTACACTGTATCTCCAAATTTTGAGTGGGCGCTTGCTCGAGATTTTATGGTATAACCTCTGTTAAAAGCTTGCACATGTTTAAAGCCAAGCTACTTCCATCCGATTGTCAAAATTGAGGAGGGTCTAAGGATGTGCCCCCAGTTAAAGGGGTGAAAGGTGCAAAAAGCAGTCTTTGACTTCTTATTTACATGGCTCAAACATAAACTACCTATTTCACTACTAAGTCTAGAAATACACAAATAATTTGAATACATATCCCACTTTTATAAAAAAAAAAAAGAAAGAAAAGAGTCATGGATGAAGAAAGAATAAACAATTAGAACAGGGACAACACAACTACATCTTTCAACTAGCAACAGACGAGTAAATTTTCAACAGCGAGCAGCCGACTATACCCAGTAGGAGTAGGGGAGAGAAGGGGAGAGAAGGAAAGATAAAACACGCGAAGTGCAAGTCAGGGTGTTAGGGTTATCTCGGATTTTAAAAATTCAACCTCAGTTTTCGTCAGCAGGAGGGAAGGGTTTGACACGTTGTTTTTTTGCTGTGGTCATGGCAAATGATTCTATGATTTCCCTGCCGAATCTGCTGTCATGCCCCCCAAAGATTTTTGTGCCATCAAAGAGGGGATGACAACGCAAACACGAACGGGCATGTATGACTATGGGATGATAAGAATCTGGAGAGGCCTTGGAAACTTCGTTGTGATGTTCGAGGAGTCTGTGATTGGTGCATCTGCCGGTCTGTCCTATGTATTGATGGCCACAGCTCAAGGGGATGGAGTAAACTTTCTTCTCTTTGCATGGAATGAATTTCTTTTCGTGCTTGACAGTGCATCCAATCGGAATCCGGTTGTTGTTTACCCGTCAGACCGGCAGATGCACCAATCACAGACTCCGCGAACATCACAACGAAGTTTCCAAGGCCTCTCCAGATTCTTATCATCCCATAGTCATACATGCCCGTTCGTGTTTGCGTTGTCATCCCCTTTGATGGCACAAAAATCCTTGGGGGGCATGACAGCAGATTCGGCAGGGAAATCATAGAATCATTTGCCATGACCACAGCAAAAAAACAACGTGTCGAACCCTTCCCTCCTGCTGACGAAAACTGAGGTTGAATTTTTAAAAACCGAGATAACCCTAACACCCTGACTTGCACTTCGCGTGTTTTATCTTTCCTTCTCTCCCCTTCTCTCCCCTACTCCTACTGGGTATAGTCGGCTGCTCGCTGTTGAAAATTTACTCGTCTGTTGCTAGTTGAAAGATGTAGTTGTGTTGTCCCTGTTCTAATTGTTTATTCTTTCTTCATCCATGACTTAAACCAACACGCTCTTCTACTAAGCAAAGAAAAGAGCGCAATCAGTCTTGCACCTTTTCCTTTCTGTGTGCAGAAAAAAGAGAAGGCCACAAAGATTCTTTTTGTTTTCACTTCCTTGGCACAAAGAAGAGAGAGAAAACAATGTTGATTGTTAATTTTATATAGAAGCGGGACACTTACACAAATAGTATGTGAAATGTTAGACTTTGAGACATAGGTACATTATTCTAGAGCAGAGGTCGACAACCTTTTGCAGCGGCGGGCCGAGTCGTCACAAAGCTGACAAGGAGGGGGCCAGACGATAAGTCCCGAGGGTGTGTGTTTGCGAGTGTGTGTGTGTGTTCGCGCGTGCGTGTGTGTGTGTTTGAGTTTGGGGGGAGGGGGGGGGGGGGGGGGGGGGCAAAGAAAAGGCAAAAGAAGAAGTGAAGACATTCTCTGCCCAATGTGGAGAATGTCAATGGGAAGTGCTCCTCATGTCTAACCCCACTTGAGATCAAAACTACCATGTGGTTATCAAGTTTGTGTGAGGAAGTGCCAAAGGGGGGGTCCTTGTCTAGTGTCGTGCCAAGGGCTGCATGAAACCGCATCGCGGGTCGCGTACAGACCGTGGGCCGTGGTTTGCCGACCCCTGTTCTAAAGAAATAAAAAAACTGGGTCAAGAACTGCTTTAGTGCAGAGGCCTGGATTTTTCTGCTCAGGCTCAAATATTCACTCCAAACGAACACCAATAAGGGTAGAATTCCAAATTTAAAAAAAAGAAACACAAGGAAGAGGGGGTTTGTACCTTGTGGTGTGCCAGCAGCACGCAGTTGGAGTGCTCGTGCTCTGAGGCAATGCTGTAGTCGGGCAGGAGTGCCGCCAGGCGCTCCACAAACGACAGCACCTCCTCGTGCCAGGGGATGTTGCCCATCGTCAGGCTGCTGCCCTTGGACTCCCCGCAGAACGTCACACCCTGCCAGATTGTACACCACAATGTTGCCCAATTCCTTTGCATAAAGCTGAGCAATCGAAGGACTAATGCTCAGAATACAGTGAACATTTTAACTGTAATGACTAATACAGTCATGTTTTGGACACCTCCATTCCCAAGAAATGTCATTCAATGTGAGCTATTAACAGTAACGAGACAGTGATCTACGTATTTATCCAGTTCGTCCCCAAAAATTTTGTCTATATATAGTGGGGTATCCATATTAACAAGGTTCATATTAAGAAGACATGACTGTATAGGAAAGTTGTGGACGTAGTGAAGCCAAGTTGATGTATGCTTGTAATGGTGATCCCAGCATTTGAGGTAATACCTTATAGTGAAGGTTCTGCGTTTTCGGTTTTTATTTTTTCAAAATTCAACATACTTTTTTTGGTTTTTATTTTAAAATTCAATTTTCGTTTTTTTTCGGTGTATATTTATTCCCAAAAGAGTTTACCATTTTTTTTCGGTGAATATGAAAGAAACACAATCGGACACCGGGTCAGATGATCCTTGTAGCTGTGACATTTGTGATCACTCAAAGAATAACGACACATATACAAGCGTCGTCTTCACTACAACTTTTGTCAGGACACACCTCAAAATCGCGGAATTTGCAAGCATAATTTTCAGCGCGCTTCTTTTTTCTCCATTCTGATGACTTACTGTTTGAGGTGAGGACCGTACAGTGACCAGCAGAATGGAAAAAAAAAAAAATTGTATTTATGTTCTCAACCACAGGGAAGTTTGAGAGAGGGTGTTAACAAAGGTATTAACGGCTTTCCTCAATGTCCTCTGAAGTGCATGAAGCGAGAAACCTTATACTAGCCGACATCCAAATTTGTTTTTAGGACCAGGAACTTGACACACTAATCCCGAACAGAGAAATGACACAGATGTCCCGCGAAGGCCAATCCAATACCTCTTTTTTTGCATGTTGAATCTTGGAAGAGGGCAATCATGAAACGAAGACATTGCACAATGTCGAACCTTGCCAAAGCCCTCTCTCTCTCTCCCCCTCCCCCAACCACCTCGACACGGCCCTAAAAAACTGACCTTTTCAGTTAAAACCGAATTTTAGAAAACGGATTAGACATTCTTTTATCGGTTTTTATCGGTTTAAACCGAAAACGCAGAACCTACAAACTGACCTTTTTTGGTTAAAACCAAATTTCCGAAAATGGATTCGGCATACTTTTATCGGTTTTTATCGGTTTAAACCGAAAAATCCGAACCCTAGTTGTAGTGAAGGTTGTCCCTAAAAATGCAAACTTGAGTAATAGTGTGATAAATCACTGTTCTAACTGCAATCGACTTTGTCGAATGGGGTTAAGGAATCATCCAATTTTCTAACTTTTCTACGAAGGAGAATTGCAAGAAACAACAGATTTTCTTTACCTAGTAAATTTTTAAACATTCTTTTGAATTGCTTAACCATGTGGCTTATAGGTTCAGATATTGCATGGTTTAAAATCATCTCTTATATGCAAAATATATTTTTCATCTGAGTAAAACATTTTGCAGAAAGATAGGACTGTTCAAAAACACCTTCATACTATTAAAACCTGCCATTGTCTTTATAACTAGGGCATCATTTTACGGAAGGCAATTTTGCAGTGTCCCATTCAGAAATAAATCCTGGGGGCTCTACAACTTACAGGTGGCCAAGTGCCACCAGTGACTTATAGACCTACTTGACAAGGTGGGGCGGAGAATGATTAGACTGTTTCTTACCTTAACTTCAATGAAGTCCGGTTTGCCCAGCTCTACCAGGTTGGCATACCCCTGCATCTCTTCCATGTTCCACTCTTTTACGAGGGTTAGCCTGTACACCGTCCTCTGGCCCTGGAAAGACACAAACAAAAAGCTGGTGAGGGTTAACCCATTTGCTACCAAAGCCGGCGAATCGCCGGGCATGCCATCAGGGGCCATACTGCCAAAGCCGGCGATTCGCCGGTCTGCATGAATTTCTGTTTTAAAGAGCCACTCTTAGATGGCGTGCTATGTAGACTTGGGGTACTGTAGTTAGATACACTGCCAACAGATGGCAAGGGTCGTTCTGTTCGCTGTGTTTGTTGAGCTCGTTCTTTTGTGTGTCGTCTTTCCCGCTCGATCGCTGCTTGCTTGGAGAAGATGGCAGCGTCCAGTGTACGGTGTGACCTTTCCGACGATGAAATCATAGATATCCTCTTCGACAGCAATGATGACGGGACGTCTGGTGAGGATACCGAGTTTTCGGAGTTTTCTGTCGACGATGGGGGTGATTCCAACAGCAGTTCCGAGTCCAAATCACAACAAAAACGCACTGGTTGTGCGACGCCTAAAGCGAACGAGGATGAAGTGCTTCAAGATCTTTCATACGAGGAAGACTCTGCGAGGGCCTATTGATTTAAAGACTTGAATGAACCACTTAAGCATGTAAACAAACATGTTTTCTTGTTTCCCACACTAAGTTTTACTATAAAAGCTTATTATACAGGCAAAACAGTTGCGCCTAGTGTGGCCCTGCTTTAGGAGAAAAACATGCGGTACAGACAGCCCGGCAGTGCACGACGCACGCGGTAGTGAATGGGTTAAGGGTAGCACGAAACAATGTTTGCTTCAGTTGGCTAGCAACTAATGCCCGAAAGAGATGCCTCAACTAGTTTGCATGTGCCAGATTTCGACAAACAGCAAGACGAAATTCAAATTTCTTTTCTCCCACTTTCAACCGTGAAATGATGATGCGTGGACAACATGTCGACCATAATTTGTTTTCTTTTCTTTCCCTTTTTGTGTAGCAGGCCTCCGGCATGGGCCTTCGGTCTTTCTGACGTCACTAGGATCTTGTAGGTGCAAATGAGCATATTATCATTAACACCTAAACATAATTCAGAACCTTCCTTTCCGAAGCCATTAAAGGCAAGGTTAGCTCTTGGCAATCTAGATCGGTTGCTGGAGTCTTTTCGACCAAATACGTCAAGACAAGCAAGCTTTGCTGTAATCAGTGACGACACTGGAAAACACTCTGCCGCATATGCACGGCAGAGCAAAATCCAAAGCCGAGAGCTTGGGGAGCCCCTGAGGGCACTCTAGGGAGCCCCTTGCATTCCTAGCAGCCCAGTTTGAGAACCCTTGTTTTACAACCTCACTACATACTACGTGCGGTAGCTGCAGTGGGAGACGTAGAGCATACACCTGAGCCGGCGAAAGGGTATAGCCTAGGGGCGAGGACCGAGAGGTTCGGAGTTCAATTCCTGGCGGGCGACGGGCATGTGCGGGTTTAGTTCTAAGCGTACATCGTTTCGCTTATGTTGCCGCGGTAACCAAACCAGTTGTGCCGACATTCCCTGCCATGGGGTGTGCACCGACATACGGACTAACAAATTTCTGGGAATAGGGGATTCCATCGTAAAACATTCGTGCTAAAAATTTACAAACAAACTGGCTGTTTCCTTGGTACACTTCAAAGGCAGCTTAAATAGAGAGCATTTAAAGGTCCCCTGCAGCATGATGCTGTCATTAATGCCAAAATGTTGTAGTGTAGTATGACGTTGTGCGACCACACGATATGACGTCGGGCCATGTGACATTAGCGACACCATTTTTAGGACTTGCCACTGTTCTGGCGCCACGGCCAGACACCAATTGTCGTGAACACCGCAAAGTCATCGGCGAGGCTACATCCCAACAACCAATACGAAAACCAGCTGGCCCCGTCAATGCTGTGCGTGTGAAAAGTACACCGAGGCACAAGGAAGCACCTTCCGGGCCAGGGCGATGAGGCTATCCTGGAAGCGCTGCCAGAAGTCCGGGAAGAGCGGCCGGTCGATCCTCTTCAGGGCCTCCCGGCTGCTGGCGTCCACGGACACGTACAGCTGAGTGACCGGCCCCAGGGCCTCAAGGGCCTCTGGGAACTGGGCGTTGGTCACCAGGAAGGTGGACACTCGCCGGGCGTGCAGCAGTCGCACCAGGCGCCCGATTTCCGGGTACATGATGGGCTCCCCAACCAGGGACAAGGCACAGTGCCTCACTGCCAGGCCCTCCGCCAGGCGCTCCCTCAGCACCCCCGGCACACCTGCAACCTCAATCCGTTCGCTCGGTCAAGACGCTCTTCGTGCAGTGCAGTCTCTGACAGAGTGAGGACGGCATATTTTTTAATAGCCCGGCCTCCAACACATGCTCCATGCCTTTTGCCGTGCTTCGGCTACGTGCAGGCGTTTCAGGTGCACTAGACGTCGAAGTGTCGTCCAAGGCAGGAACCCACGCTGGAGGCAGGGCAATAAAGCTATTTCCAGCAGAATGATAAAACAAAGAGGACAGTTGGGCACATTCTTTTAACTTACGACATTGTGTATTAACACGAAACATTCTTTGGCCAGGTGTTCAACATTTCGTGAAGCCCAGTTAAAAGCGTGGCCGCGAGGCTCGACACTGATTGGTTGACGAGTTGGAGAGGAGGAGCGAGGTGCTCGACGCCGACTGGTTAACAGAAAGGTCGTGTGACCAGAGGGGTAGGCGAGGAGGAGTGAGGGAGATGAGGAGGAGCTTGACCATCTGCGTGCAGTGAGGGAGAGGAACTCGAGTATGGAAGGCTCCGGAAGATAGCCAGGTTTATCAGTTCAATTAGCGATAGTAGCTAGCACTTCATTCTAAGAACAATTATCAAGTGTACACATAGTACACGAGATGAAGAGTGCCACGAACGTAGGCGTCTTGCGTCTGGAAACTCGGAGTACGGCTAAAAGTATGTGATGTTACAATGTTTCACATATGCAACAGAATTGCCTAGCAATTTGCCATAAATTTTTCCATGGCCGTGCAATTGCCAGTTCCCCAATGCTTTTTAGGGAACTTGCAACAATGATGCGAGCTGAAAGAATGTGCCCACCTGTGTCTCGTCCTCTTTTATTCTTTCTATTACAGGTGTACTTATTCCAACACATTCATTACGAACAAAATGAAGCTCCTCTCCGCCGTCTTCACCTCGTCGTTGACTATAGTTTAACTAGAGCGACAAACAAAAACAACTGACGTCGACGAGCCCCAAGCACGTGCAGCGTGCACGCGAAGGTGCCTTTGGCGGGTTTGGGATTGCTTCACGAGCACTCCCAAACCCGCCAAAGGCAACCTTGCGTGCGTGCCACCCATGCTGGGGGCTGGTCGGTGCTGGTGGTTTCTGTTTTCCGCTCTAGTGGGACTCAGGCACTGCAGTCGTTGTCATCACACACCCGACAATCAGGCAGTTCCTTACTGCACGGACACGTCAATGCGTACTCATCAATAAGTGCGGAGAGGCACAAAGTAGATTTTCTCTCACCCTTGAACTCCTTGATCATCTTGTAGTGGCTTTCCAGTGCAGCATCGAGGATCATCTCGGGAGGGTCCATGTTCCACTTCCACTCAGTGCCCACGGGATTCGTGTGATGCCTGCATTGAGACGTCAACCACGAGCTCAAGAAGTTTCTCGCGTGAGATGCCGCTACCGCAGAACTTTGCTCGCAACCACGCCTTCCCGACGGTGCTCTTAATGCCCAGAAATTTACTGCTCTTACCCAATCTGTTTTAGATCGTAAAAAATTACCTGTGCAGTTACAGGTCATGTCTATGAGAGGAGTGCCTACTCCCATTCGGGACCTTACGGCATACTACATCCTTACATAGTGAGTGTAGCCTAAATAATTTCTCATGCCACAACTTTTCAAACTGGTATCCCAGGAACCCCAAAGTATATAAAACATACTTCCAGCTAAAGCAGTATCTTAGTAGATCTTGGCCATCTACCGATCAAAGCCAATTAATGGGTTTTATGTGCCAAACCAATGAAGGGCATATAGCACGCCCCAGCGGAGGACTGAGGAATAATTTCGACCGCCTGGGGAGTTTTTGGCATGCAACCGAAATCCCGGTTACGTGGCGGCTTCTACGGAATAAGGCTCCGTCAGATTGCAGGCACCTCAGCCGAGATTTGAACCCGCTACATGGGGACCCAGTAGGTCGGCGTGTTGCGTCGGAGCCCCCCAAGGCGGCCCACCCACTGATGCATAGTAACATATGGGACAGTCCCTAGTAGTGCCCCCTATTGCTTAAGAGGTCCATAGGCTCCTGCACTGCTTTACTGCTACAACGCCGAGACCCGAAGGGCATTCTCTGCCATCATCCATGACAGATAGGTGCTCTTTGAAATTAAAAAGCTTTAGAACCCCTGACTACCGCAATCATTAATTCAGATAGCAGCTGTTACCAGGAAAATTGAAGTTGCCCTCAGTAAACCTAACCACACTGTCACGTGCACAAGATTTTAAAAGTGGGACACACCACCAAAGATCTCACACATTTCTGGGTGCCTCCATGCCAGTGCTGCATCCAGGGTAAAGATACCTGCCATATTAGGTCAAACTTTCAGCTGCTCCCGTCGGCACTAGCTTGGATAAATTTAGAAGGGATTACAATGAAAACACAACCTTTTACGCCACAAAGTTACATCCAAACACATGTGGCTCTGACAGATCAGAATGACCCAGTTAGGTTGGTCAATGGGTGTCTTCGCCCTAGAAGGGGCACTGGCATTGAGGCACCCTTCATATCCCTGGAGTGCAGCATCTCCGATGGTCAGACACGGTCTCCCCCTACGAAGCGGATGGCCATACCTCCAGCAGAAGACGCACTTGTTGGCACAGGCCAGGCTCGGGGTGGCCTCCATGCAGCGGTGGCTGTCGATGCCGTAGAAGGTGTGCTTGTAGCAGCCCCCCCGGCCACGTAGCATGGCCTTGGTCCAGCGACACAGCTTGACGCCTGAATGGCTGCCAATGAGCTTGTAGCCCTGCTTGGTCAGCGACTCCCGCACGGGCGGGGTCAGCATGTCCTTGGGTTGCCCGGCAGCGCCCTCTGCCTTGGCCTGCGGCACCCCAAACAAGCTTCCGGTCAGTGTGTCCCTCTACGCCCGTGCCCGAAACGCGTCTCGGACCGGCGTGTTAGGGTCCTATACCACCCACGCGTAGCAATGGTCCCGAAGAAAGCAGCAACAAAAAGCTTCACAAAAGCCAGCGTGTCATACTGTCAGTCCTTGCAATCCTGGGGGTCGGTCACGGAAGCCAAGCGGACACAAGCATTGCCTTTGTTGCGGCGTCCCAAGTCGTGGCTGCTTCGGCTTCTGTCGATTGCCAGGCTGCAGAGTGGGCTACGGCAGAACAGACATCTCTACCGAGGAATGCAAAGGGTAGTCGTCTACGTATGAATAAGCCCACCCGAAACCAACACGCGCAGTACGTAAAGAGGAATGACGCTTTGACCTATTATTATTCGGCTGCAAAAATGAGGTGGAGCAAAGAGCTCGTGCTTTTAAGGCCGGTTTACACATCTGTGTATGAGCGTGATAGAGTGCCCCCCCATTCTCTCGTAACCGCTTACGACAAGAGAACACACTCGCGCAGCTGGCGCCATCTAGTATCGGGCAGCCCTGCAACGCCACCCACCCGCATATGCATTTTCTCATTTTTAGATGCGGAGCATCTCTTGCTCGGGTCTATGCCCCGCGCAGTCGTAGTCTGCACTCCCATTACGCATGCGCAACTCTCCTCCTTCCCTCTCTCCAACAGCTGCGCGTTCTCCGCTCTCTCTCTCTACCAGCTGCGTGCACTTTGCGTGCGTTCGCTTCTACTCACACCGCGTGCGCATGCGCAACTCTTTTCCTCTAGTCTCCTCTCCTTCAAGTGTGAATATAAGCAGCGGTAGCGCGCTGCGCGCGTTCAGTTCACCCGCTGTTGACTCCACTCCGTTCTTCCGATGAAGTGTGATGGAAGCAACAGTCTCGTCAGTTAGTGGGTTGGCGCAAGCAAGCGTCAGCACCCCCCCCCCCCCCCCCCCCACCACCCCAGAAACTAACGTAATAACACGCAAGTTAACAATGTTACTAACAACGTTACTAACACCGTTAATAACACCAATAATAACGATCCGCGATGCTCCGCATCACCCCATGGTTCCCCTCGGGAAGATAATGTAATTTTTTTTACGCATTGTTTTTTTTTTTACAGTGGGCTCGAAATAATTCTGACAACATTATGAGCGACCATTTCTTAAGGACAGTTCATAGATTTCGTCTCGCAAATAACGCAAACACTTCGGTCCAGTAATACGCAGTTCCAGGTCTACCTGCTTTCTTGCTGCAAGCGGTTACGAGAGAACGCATCACGCTCGATCATGACCAGACGCATAGGCGTGAATCATCATTTAGCAAACCGACAAACATGCGGCTAATCGTACGTTTCCCAAACATTGTCTGAGATTTTGTTTTCATAGTAATAATATTACATTTTTATTGCGGAGTAAAAATATGCACAATTATGTACGGGTCTGCAAAAGCATGTTGTAAACAACTTCTTTATTTTTTACGAGCTCGATGTTTCAACAATTTTGCCCGACCTAGTTTTGGAATATGTCTGTGAGTACTAAGTTTTGCGAGATGGAAGATACGAAAAAACCCCAAGCTTTTGGGTGCTCTCTACAAACTAATATTCTCCAGAAGGACCAAAAGGAAAATTAGTGTTTGCCATGGTTTTGCCCTGTGCGCTTCGCTGAGGTCGTCCTCGGGTTCGCTTGCAAAAGCATCGAGACGCAATACAATCCGACAACACTTATGCAGGAAACGTTGATTACTAGGTAGCTGTACACTCTGACTAATAGCTCATTTTATTTCAAATACATTATTAACAGGAGCCTCAATAGAGCCATGTGGAACCCTACGAATGTGTTATCACCTATTTATGCAGACGCATGAAATGTTTCGGAATTGTTTTATGAAATGCTGATGTGTTGTCCGATTTGTTTGTGCAACCAATTTTTTTCTGAAAATTAGGTTACTGTAAAAGACTTAATTTTCACCAAGACTTAATTTTCGCGAATTTCGCGAATTGCCTACAATTTGCGAAAAACAAATCCAGCGAACAATTCCGATAAAATGTAAACACATTGGAATCTATATTGAGATCCCACCGCGTCGCGAAAATTAGCACCCGCGAATTATTACGAAACTTCAGCTTTGACCTAAATCGCGAAATATTAAGCACACGAAAAATAAGTCGTTTACAGTATTTGCTAAAATTGGAGGAATAAGATTTTCAAAAATATTGTTGTTTTCAGTATTTACTACACATACAGTTTTCTCGAAGGTTATCTCAATGAACAAGCCCGGGAAGTACTATTTCAATATCCTGAGGAGTACAGTAATATACCGAGCAAGTGCCCACCCAAAATTAGAGGATAATCTTGAAAAAAAAAAAGGGGACAGCTGCCAGTTAGGTTCCGGCGCAAAGATACAGAAGGGGGCATGCGAGGGGGTGGGCTTCACTGCTTTTCATCGGCGTGTTCGGAGAAGTGGCTCACACGGAGAAATATTTCAATTAGCTAGGTGGGCTCAGAAGCTTAAGTGGAGACTCGAATGTTCCCTTTGCCTGTTTCTCAAACATCTCGCAAGCATCAGGTGGACGCTTTCTGTGACATGGGCACATGCTCGGAATTTTGCGGCGTCTTGTTTTATGACCGCTCGATTTATGTCAAATGTCACTTCCAAATAATCAGTTTCTTGTCTTTCTCGTCCCTCCTTGGCGTTTAGCTTTCGTGTTCTCAGTAACTACGTCAACACGCTCGTCAAAATCTTTTTCTTTTTTATTTACAAAATGCGCTGTTAGGCATAAAGCAGGGTGGGGAAGGGGGGGAGGGGGTAGGGTGTACATGAAACATTGCATACAAGGAACACATTTTCAAAATGTGTACACAAAAACAACTAAAATAAATTTTTATGTTAGAATGCAACTCCACAGTTTGTTGTGAAAAGCAGCATTATCAGTAACAAAGATTTGCTCTTCTGAAAGTGCACTGCTCTCTCGAATGGTCTGAACAAAAATGAGAAAAGAAAAGCAGTCAGTATGATAACAAAATTCTGTTACTATTTTTTCTTTTATAACGATCCAGTCTTGAATTGTTCTATACAAGGGCAAAAAAATCCCAAACATAATGCTTGCCTCTTTACACAAGTCCTAATGGAACAAGCACCATTCATGTTTGCTCCTTTATCCATCATACTTAGTTCACCACTGCCTCTCTAATTCCTCTTTGGTTTGCTCAAACCTCTTTTTTTGTATGGACCCAATTTTTCCTAATTTTAAAGGCAACGAGAAATTTAAACAAAAGCTTAAAAAACTTATGCGGGGTTTTCCCATTCCATTCCATTGCCTCTCGCTAAATTTCCCACTGGAAAAATACTCCAAAGCCCCAGCCCGAGTTATTTGCCACCATTCAGCCCATACGAGTGAAACTTGCTCGTATAAATACTAAGGGTGTGCAAATATAAATTTTTTTAGAATACAAATTGAATATGAATAATGCTGAAAACTGACTTTGACTATTAAATTAAATATTAAATATGTACATAATGAAAAAAAAAAACACACTTATACCAAACATTATGCAGACTAAACATATATGCATTATACATAAATACTAGGGGGTGCCAATATTACTAACATTTCCAAATAGAAATTAAATATAAATAAAAAATCAACAAAAAAACTGACTTCAAATTTTGAATGTGCACATAATAAAAAGAAAGACCAAACTTTTTATACAGAACCTTGTGCAAAGCTTTCACTATCCTTGGAGCTACAGCATGAGAGCTAGATCTTAAGCCACACAAAACTGACATAGCCCTTCCAAACATAGCACAAGAATAAACAGCTAGTCAAAACACACACACACAAAAAAAAAAAAGAAACATGCAACAAGCAACTAAATTTTAATTTAGATTAAAATAAATAATTTATAAATGTTAGTAAAATAATTATTAATGTTAGAAAAGGGCACTGCTAGAAATTGTTTTATTGGATGCTTCACCAAAATTATATTTGAGGGATGAACAAACTACAATCACTCACAATACATTTCTTTCCTAAGTGAATACACTATCAAACGTGGGCCTCAAAGGGTGACTGCAAAGAAAAAAAAAAGTATTTTTAAACAGCCTGATTGGGACAAGCATGTCACAAAACAATTTTTCCGCCAAAAACACTATTTTTCACAGCAATATTTATTGCGTGAGACTGATTTTAGTTTGCGGCTCTTTCGTCCGTTTTAAATTGCGCGCCACAAAGTTGATATCATAGAGTTATTATAATGTACGCTAGAGGTTCAACTGGCGCTAGTGTGCTGCTGCAAAATGAAGGAGACAGCAACCAGTCCGAAATTGACTTCCGGTAATGCATTTCTATGGGAAAAAGCGACTGCATTTTCTCTCTGCGCTCGATTATAAGGGCAAATATCACGAATAATTCGCACGTACTAGGTAGTTTGGAACATTTCTCAGTCACGCAATGCAATAAATGGTCAGTCACAGCGTTTTTATTTGAAATTCGTGGCATAAAAAACGGTGCTAAAATCGCTTCGTACGTGTATTTATATGCACTGTCGGACACTGATAGCGCGAACACGGCGTCGGCGCTTTCCAGCTAGGGGGATATACGTGCCAAACGAACGAATTACATGTGGAAAACCAAAACAGACGGCAAGAACTACGCAGTAACACTGGATACGTAGCTCCTTGTGCATGCAGACGATCAAAATAAATTGAAATCCACGTAATATAGTCAAATATGCAATAAATAAGTACTGCTTTATTCTTTCCGCTCGTGAATATGTGCGAAGATGCTTGTTCTGGGTTCATATCATCACCCGCACGCTCCAAATCTTTGCAAATAGGGAGAAGCAGAGAACAGTTGCCTGATTAAACTGCCCGACATAGGAAATAATAAAAAGACGCACCTTTCGTAGCCCACATACTTTATTTTTTACATTCAAAAGTTCTTTAACTGATCGTAAAGATGCACGACGGAGTCATTTTCATAG